CCTCCGGCACCCACTCCGACTCCGACTCCGACTCCACAGCCCTGCTTGTAAAACCATCTGAATTCATCTATCAGGATCTGTGTTAACTCCTGGTCTTTGTCACATATAACAGCTACTTGATTTGTTCCTGCTGTTAAAATCATACCGGGTGTAAATTTTCCTCGTGTAAATTTGTTTTCGTTATCTGTACTTTGAGTCCGTATCGTGGTCATTCCTGGTTGAGTCGTGTCGTATTGGTGTAATAGTTGAACTGGAATGATTAGAAGTAATGACTACCCTTCCACAGGTGTTCTTCGCTTCCACAGGTGTTCCACTTCAGGTATGAGTCAGCTTATACATGATGTTATATATATAAGAACAAAACAAATAAATATATCTGTACTCCATCTGAAAATGCTACTTCGAAACAGAATCTACAAGTTAATGAATAATGAATAACCTCGAAAACAAATTAAATTAAAACCGAATTGAGAACAAGTAACTTTACGATAAGAACAGTATTATGTCAATGGTTATTTTTACTCTTTGTTATCTGTGATCACTTGGTTAAGGAGACGCCCATGAGGAAGGACGATGGGCGTCCACTGAGGTAGGTCTCCTCCACACATTGTTCGGTCTGACAGTCACAATATCGTGGACAAGAAAGCATTTGTTGATTATTCTTTCTTATTTTTTAATGAAGACAAACAATAGCTTTTGGTTGATCGTTTCCTGATATTTTTTGTTTATTTCTTCACACTGTCCACGACGCTTGTTGTTTACTATACACAAACGATTTCTATTGAGGAAAGTTTGAAAAAATTTCTCCTGGTAATGTTTAACAAGACAGTGTAATATATCTTCCTTCGAGTAGTTTATACCTGTAAGTTTACTGTGACTGGTTCAGGTCAGTCAGAGTGTAAGTTAATTAGTAGAATGTAAAGTAGATTTATGCTCCTTCAACGGATCACCTGAAGATTAGACACCCCACCTGCTCTAAATGTTAAAAAAAATGACCGACTGACATACAAACTCCATCGCGTGCATTTGTTATGTTGTGTTTAATACCGATAATACCAAAATTTTCTTAGCCTCTGAAACAAACATAAAACTAATATACTGTCTGAATAATAGAGGTGAAGAGCGAAGGGCGGATATATACGGTATAGTGGTATAGTGTTGCTGTTGTGAGGGTCAGGCAGGGCAACACGACCTGGCTCTTATCTGTTAATTAAGGAAGCACAACTAACCCTTGACCCTGAGATCCGGGGCATCACCTTCCTCCTCCACCAGACGGTAGTGGAGGTCCTCTGGGGAGATAATGTACAGAAAGATGAGAAGTGTCGCACTCCTTGATCATCTTACACCTGCTGTGAGAATTATCAAAGTCTTCAATACTCATTAATTTACGGGTCACGTTGTCTTGGGGGCAGAAGAGTGTGTTGGAGGGAGAAGAGAGGAGTGTGTTGGAGGAGAGGAAAGGATTGTGTTGGAGGGAGAGGAGGGGAATGTGTTGGGGGCAGAAGAGTGTGTTGGAGGGAGAGGAGAGGAGTGTGTTGGGGGAGAGGAAAGGATTGTGTTGGAGGGAGAAGAGAGGAGTGTGTTGGAGGCAGAAGAGTGTGTTGGAGGGAGAAGAGAGGAGTGTGTTGGAGGAGAGGAAAGGATTGTGTTGGAGGGAGAAGAGAGGAGTGTGTTGGGGGCAGAAGAGTGTGTTGGAGGGAGAGGAAAGGACAGAAAATCATATCAGCAACTGTCTTGTGTTGCTTGTAAAAAAATAAAAATATTATTATCCTGACAAGAGATAAATTTCCCTTATATTATATTCATATTTGCACCCAGATATGAAAAACAATATTAAAATTTTTAAACACAGATGTCTTAAAGAAATTGGTATTAGATTTAGAAGACTCGGTAACTCCAGCACATAATCAATTCCCTCCAGACACACGTGGAGGTAATGAAAGGTCTAGTAACTTTACATTTCAGCCCCGGGTACGGCCGTCTTGATGCTGTAACTAACTGACCTTCCATATTGGTGCAAATATTTTCTCAAGTATTTTTCGTTGCCCTCAGAATTTCTGCCTTATATTATCTTATCATTTACGGTGAAATGTTGACTGGATGTCTATGCCATTTTCAGTCATATGTGTTGTAGAAATACCACGAACAGTTTTAGTGTGACTATTAATTATCCTATTAAAAGAAACTGTGAACAAGAAACTCTGAAATAAATTCATAATCAGCTGTGTTTGCTGCTTCAGCTGTACAAAATTCCAAGTACAGTATGTCCCAGGTTGGTTTACTGCATGCTGTAATTTTAGCAGTATACAGGCATGGAAGCCCTACCTCCTGAAAGATCTAGCATCACCAGAAAAGGTGTAACAGAGTGACTAAGATGATTCCTGAACTACTGTATGTCATCTCGATTATTCAAGAAGGCTGGGAGCCTTAGGACTAACAACCCTTCGGGCATGGCACATTAGGGCCGATCTCATTGAAACATTCAAAATTCTGGAAATCGTGAACCCGGGTCACTTCTTTGTGATGTCACGCACCACCAACACGAGATAACATATCTGTAAGCTCGCCAAGCAATCATGCAGACGAATACTGTATAAGGAAATACAGTACTTTGTTCACACAGAGGGCGGTAGACCTATGGAACGGCCTACCAGCCTAAGCTGTGGAAATAACATTACTGGGCTTCAAAATAGCCACTGGCTACTGTCCCTGGGCATGGCCAGTTGGCCACCTCTAGTGGGTGGCCACTAGGCAAATAAGATACAGTACAGTATAACAAGTAGAACAAGGTATTTAAGTTTAGGTCATAGAAGTACAAGGAACAACTGCAGTAGAGTATATTGTTAATTATTGCTGGTGTACAAGGAGTTTTATAACACTTCATAGTTACATTAGGTGGAAGGAACCCTGCTCACCTGCACATTAAACTTCCCATGCCAGTCAGCTATCAGTCAGGCCCAGAAATTTAATTACAGTGCTCTAGAAATTTGTAAAAACAACCCCCCCCCCTCCCCCAAAGAAGAGCTGCTGAGTAAAGTGAGGTTTTGCCTGACCAGTAACCTGACCTAGTTCAATTCAGTGTCATTAGTTTCAGGGTTTTGGTTTCTTATTTCTCCTCTTCATTCATAAAGCATCGGCCTCTTTCCACGTCAAAGCTGTACAAAGAAAGAATTTATTAAAAAATAAACATTCGTTTTCTCCAAACAAACAAGATAGTCAATGTAGGAAATAAACCACGACAATACTGATGGGCCTTTTATTTATTTATCATATATACATTTAAATATGGCACGAATATAACTATGGAATTATAATATCGATAGTTTTTATGAGATTAGACTTCATTATATATCTTAAATTTAGAAAATAGATTATCTAATTATTTTGTTCGTGGTACTTAAAAAAGATTGTTACCTCCACCTAACATGGCGGCGAGGAAAGTGGTATGTTATGTTTTGCCTCAACTTTTTCCTTTATTTGACTCTATTATCTTTCTCGTAGATCATCATCATAACAATAAGATGATAGACTATTAACAATCACCTTTATAGGCGTTTATATTGTAGATATTGGACGTGTGTAAAGCATTAATATCTGTATAGGTCGCCGGTGATTGGAGATTTTCATTAACAAAATAGATGAAAGAACAACTGTTAACATCGAGAAAAAATATACTGTAGGTTATTTATGTTCTCTTGAGTTATTGACGATCTGTTAGAACTGTATTGAGTAGTAATATAGAACCAATGAGTATAGCTCTTAACAGTAGATTGGTTTTAACATAAATCATATACCTGTAGTTCAATGATGGTTTTGTCTTATGTATTGGTGTAGAAGAAAGAAAAGACCTATGTATGTATGTAAGTATGTGGTGTAAAGGGTCCTGTTTTATGAATAAGAGCAGTGGATATTTTTTTCCTGGACCGGATAAGTTTCTACTAATACTATTTTACCGTGAGTACTCTCTGAATGGCTAATAGTCCATTACCTAACCATATTTATGTTGTGCATGAAAACTTATTATAAAAGAGACAAACTAGAACCTAATAGAACCTGACCTAACCAACCAAAGAAACCTACCTAACTACCTAGTTTGGGGGGGCAGACCCCTGTCATATTAAACGGAAAGTACTTAGCCAATCAAAACGCAGTCACGGTAAAATAGCATAAGTAGGAACTTAGCCGGTCACTACCACCAGAAGTTGTTCGTTCGATTTTGTTAATTTTTTCCACATGTTCTTATCATTATAGTAGTTATTTTAAAAGAGGCGGCAAGTTTTTATTTTAATTATAAGCTTTTCTTTATCGTGATCATAAATCACCTGTAGTGGGCAGGGCAGGAAGGATGAGAGAAATTACATGGTAAAACTTGGTGAAAACCGATCATATGGTACTAAAATGATGTCACTGTGAAAAACTTAATTTTTTACCATAAATACTTCTCCGAAAAATCTACCGAGTTAGCTTGTATTGTCATCTGCACTTTGTTTACAACTGACCCGTTTGGTCCGCGCAAATCTCATGTCCACAAAAAACTTAAATTTACACCATGACAATTCAACAAAGTTGCTTTCATTGGTACCAGATATCCAAAGAGAACTTTCTGTTTAATACGGCAGGGCGTCTGCCCCCTGGCTTGGAAGTTAGGTAGGTTTCTTTGGTTGGTTAGGTCAGGTTCTATTAGATTCTAGTAAATGTTGCCTCTTTTAAAATTACTTACTATGATGATAAGAACAACTGTGCTAAAATGGTAGGGCTGTTTTCGGACATTACAAAAAAAAAAAAAACTGTTGAGAAAGAAAATCTAAGTATTAAGGGTAACACTGGGTAATACTGGTGCAGATTGCTCACACCAGGAGTTGTTTGATTTCGTAAATTTTTTCCATATTTTCTTATCATTATAGTAATAAAAACTGTATGAGAACTTTATATGGTTAAACTTGGTGAAAACTGATCATATGACACTAAAATGATGTGTCTACGTGCTTTGTACGTGAAGACATTAATTATTTACCATAAATATTCAGCCGAAAAATCTGTCTTGTTGGCATGTGCTGTCGTCTGCTCCTTACTCACATCCACATAAGAACGTAAAATTTCACCATGGTTGCTTTTATTGGTGCCAGATATCAAAGTACGTACTTTCTGTTTAATACAGCAGGGCGTTAGCCTTCTGGCTAGGAAGTAAGGTATGGTTAGGTAGGTTTCTTTGGTTGGTTAGGTCAGATTCTATTAGGTTCTGTGCATTGTCATATCATTTTTATCAAAAGAACGTCTGTGGAAAACATGAATGAAATCGAATAACTCCTTCTGTTGTTAGCCATCTGCTTCAGTATTATGAATTACCGTACAGTACAGTACAATATAATCAATATAACCTACCTAACCAAATCTACCTATCATAACCTAAGTTTAGGAAGCGCCTGTGACGAAATGATATGTACTGTGTGTAAACAGTGAATATGATGTCATAGCTCGTTGATGTAGATTATTATTCAGGACACAAAAAAAATAATAATAATAATAATAATACAGTGCATAAGTTGCAAATTCTCATCATTTAATGAAACTTTCTTGGGGTAAGAATGAATTTATCTTCTACAGATTTTTACTGTATTAAGAGGTGTCCCTAAGATAATATATTGCTTTAAAAAAAAAAAAAAATATGTAGTAGAAGTCCAAAAATCCGGACTGCTTGGGGATTGGGTTGGTCCGGATTTTCGGATTTTTCGGATTCTCAGGCAGTACTTCTAAAATTCAAATTTAAGGAGGAATATAGAAGAGATGAACAGGTACAGCAATATCTAACTGGCTAATATCATGACAAGTCTTGAAATTCCTAAGCCATCCATCACTAAATGAGCACTCTGATTCAATGTTCATTTGCTACTTAAAAGACTTTGCTTTGGCAATAAGCATCGGCCCAGAAATTGCCATACCTTCTGATCGTTTTAACAAAAACCACTCATGCAACACTTTATCAAGTTTTTCTAATTTTGGCCGATGTAAACTTTTTCTTTCAGTGATTGGCAGTCCGATTTATTCATCTAGGACCATTATTTGACTTCATTCCGGTTATATTTGGGTACATTTGGGTAATTAGTCGGACCCCTCAGAAGCTCTGAATCTAGAATTTTATTCTTTGCCTTTTTTATATCATACGACATTGGAAAGTCTACAATTTATGTTTCCATTAGAACAGTATTGCTCATACCACGTTCTAGTTTCTTAATTATTTAAAATTTGTCTCAATTTCAACATGTTCTTCTTTCTCTTTACACAACGAAGTTTATCTACTTTAGGAGCCATTATTATGGGCTTGTACTCTGTAAATGGAAAGAGTAGGACTCAAAATTACATACGTTGTCACAGTTTGATTGCTCGTTTTAAAGTGGCGACCGCGTGGTCGCTTGTTGTCACTGTGCAGCTGTGGCGCTTACGCATGCGCAAATACACACAAAATCCCGCTAAATTTAAAAAGTTTGAGAGCTTTCGAAAAGTCCGGATTCTCGGGTGGTCCGGATTTCTGGCATCCGGATTTTTGGACTTTTACTGTATATAGATAAAAAGTAAGTGGTAACCTTTTACCTTTTAATATTTTTTCCCATGGCAAAGCTCACATTATTTTATGTATTTTAGTGTATGGCATATATTCTTGGAAAGGTCTTAAGTTCAGTAAATTGTAATATCCTGGAACAGGGTCCCACATTAACCAAAACCTTAGGAAAATTTAAATTGAAGATAACTTCTTTTGTACTTCAAGAATATCCCAAAACATGTGGACGATTTGTAATTTTCTTAATTGCGTTTGACATTTTAGCTATTTTTTCTGAGCACCAATTCTTCATTTATTTGTTACTCCTAAGTGAGGGAAGTCCTGTACTGTACTGTTTTAACTTCTTGTCCTATTTTCAGACGACGGGACTAACTGGGTTGGCTGTGGCTACCAACCCACACCATACACTTGGTGTGCTGTATGGCAAGATTATGCGATGTTTGCAGAAGATGCCTCCAGATGCTGCCTACCGTAAATATACAGAGCAGATAATTGGCGAACGAAGTAGTCTTGTGAAAACGGTAAGAATGACGGTTGAATCTAGTAGTACTGTACAGTCGGGGACAAAAGTTCACTCCCCGCGGTGAAACTTAAGTCACGGGAATGAGTCTCCGAATTGACTTGCCCTGACTGTTTCATCTCATTTGGGGTCAATGCTGCTTATTTTGGGCGGGAGCTAACTTCTGACCCCGACTGTACAATATCTGTTTATTCACCCAGTGCAAATTTTTTGTTTTGAAGGAAATAATAAGGTTGACGATAAATGATTCATGATTTCATTTTCAAAGTTCAGTTTGGTTAAGACTATTTTATATATTTATATAATTTGTCCCATTATTTCCAACCATATTGTATTTTGATGAGTTCATAAGGACATACGTAAAGACATTATTTTCACAAATTTCTTTGCTGTCCCACTGTAGTGTATTCTTATACAGAGGGTATAGTAAAATAAATGACCATATCTGTAAAGAACCTGTAGAACAGTAACTAGTAATACGTGGTGCACCACCACTCATGTACAGAGCTTCAGTAAGATGTCCAATAATTTATTGTCCTTGGCAGATGAGCTGCTATAAGGTATTTTAGTTGGAAATATATTTAAGAAGTAAAACTGGCCACTATTAAAGTAAAGGAAGGTTAGAGTAAGGCTTAATTATAATTTAATGGACTTTATAGTGGAATGCAGTCAAAACTTGACCACATCTCTCTTCACATGAGACGCATTCCACACACACACACACACTCTTTATATTACAGAGTATAGACTACTATATTGATGTTTACAACTGAATTTGAATATTTTGGGTAAAATTCAGAAGTACATTTAATTTTGAAAATTTATCTGTTGGATTAGGTTATAATGAAAAAAAAATAGATAAAAAATATCCAGTATATTTTCCTGAAAATTTTGAAATACTGTATAACAATACCTGTACTGTAATGTACTGTACTGTATTTAATGTAGTGATACCTACTGTACACTGTAGTACTGTATATCTGAAATTTGTTTGTTACAGATTTAAACACTTAAGTTAGTGTGTAAATTATCTTACATTATTAATTTGTTATAAATTTTGCTTGATGTTTCTCAAGAGTGATGTGTAGCTATATGCCTGCTAGATTAGGAAACCAAACAACCGTAATTAAGGTAATACATCTATGATCAGCTAACCCTCCTGGCAGCTCTAACCTTTACATGGGTCTGAGAAACAACAGGCTTCACAGAAGGCTGGAGGGTAAATTAGTTAGAAAGCTATTCGCTTGATGAAACTTGTCATTGGTTTAGGTTAGCCCACTTGGCTAGATCAGACATGTACAGTATGTGCTGTATACTTATGCAATATTTATATTGAGACAGTTTATTTAGCTACAAAAATACAGATACAGTGGACAGTAATAACAATACAATATTGACATGACTGAGCCAGTTGAGAGCCTGAGCTCTCTTAGTGGTACCTGATATATACTGTCCCGTACATTATCTCAAGAAATTATTATAAAACCTTTAGTATCATCTGGATTAGTGTTAGTACCCTAAATACATATGAGAATGTTACCACGATTATCACTTATTTTTATTCATTTATTTTGTTTATTGTTTTTATATTTTATATATTTTTATTTATTTTTTATTTTTTACATTAAATTTATATTATAAGTATATACTGTACATATTTTACAGTGGAGTTGATATGCAGTAATCTGATAAGAGATGGAAGCAATACAACATGCATTGTGTTAGGGTGAAACAAGGAGACAGACAGTCAGGATATTGGCTTGACGACAAATATATAATTATTGCATTGGTAATTTCTATCTACATGACAATATATGATACAGTATAATGGTTTTGATGGCAAGGTAAGTGTTACAAAAATATGGGTACATAGACAATAGATATTTTTTAAGATGGGGGTTCAAGGAAGGGAGCATACCTGTAGTCTTTGCTTGGATGGGTGAGGGTAAGTTGTTCCACACCTTCGCACCATGATATTTTATGGAGGTCTGGGACTGAGAGGAGCGCATGGGAGGGTGGTCTTAGTAGGTCTGGGTGTCTTAAGTTGTACCTCTGGTTAATCCTGAACCGGAAATAATTATTCTCAATCAAGAAATTAACTGGGAAAAGTTTTAGACTGAGCTGTGCATTACTCAAGTTTTGTTCTTGGTAATGTGAGCTTTTAATGCTACTATAACATAATTCTGGGAAGGTATTTGTTGTTTATAAGTTTAAATACAATAATGTATGTCTTTTACAACAACAAAATTCCATCAACATACAATTACCGTATATACTCGTGTATAGTTCGAGTTTTTAAGACCCAATTTTTAGGCAAAAAATTGGGGGTCGTTCTGTACATGCGTAATAGTTTTGCTAGGTTGAACCCGTGCATGATGGGAAGGGCGAGGAGCAACTTTTAGCTTCAGACATGAAAAATATTTACCATTTACTGCCAGTAAACAATGGAAATGTAAAATATGTACCAATTAGTAATGAAAAGTTGTGCAGTTCCTTCAGCAAATGCTCACCAACTTACAATAGGCTAAATTACCTTACAACGTGTTTTAAGTAGTCTATGTTGAAGTTCTTAGCACAGGCTAACTTATCATATCATATACGGTATCACAGTTCTCATTGATCTACAAAAAATACCGGTAATAAAAACCTTTTCGATATTTCACACTTAATATAATACCCGGTAATCTACTTCAACCTCCTATTGTTTATAACGACGCATGACGCACCACCAGCTGTTGCGTCAGCTAGACGGTACACGTGTTTTTTCGAATCATTTTCAGTTAAAAAACTGTTACATCACATGTATATTTTACCTTAACTGTGCCTGAACGAATATATTCTCGGAAATAAATAGTAGTTTTGCTGAAACGTGATGTATTTTAATGTAAAATAGGATAAAATACATGACGAAAACAAAAGATTTTACCTAACCTTCCGATGTTCAAGAGGTTACTCGTTTTTTTAATAGTTTTTGGTTAAAATATTGTTATATTACAATAGTATTCTATTCATACTGTGCTTCATATAATGCATTCACGGAAATGTAATATTTTTGCTGAAATGACGTACGTATTACAGTGGAAAGTGGGATAAAATCTTGACGAAAACAATGACTTTCGCTTCCTTTCGTTCAAAAGATGTTACCGTAATCGCTTTTCGAATGGGTTTCAGTTAAAAACTGTTGTATTACAATAATATTCTATCCTAATTGACTTGAATAAATACTACGATACCATATTTCTGAATATTTTCATTGAAATCCATCAAAATCATTTTCCTTGTCATCGTCTGCAGCACCAAACAGCTTCTCCCAGTCCTCTCCTTGAACAGGGCTAGAGGGTACGTGTTTTTCGAATTGTTTTCAGTTAAATAACTATTACATCACATGTATATTTTACCTAAACTGCGCCTGAATGAATATATTCTCGGAAATAAATAGTAGTTTTGCTGAAATGTGATGTATTTCAATGTAAAATAGGATAAAATACATGACAAAAACAAAAGACTTTACCTAAGCTTCCGATGTTCGTGAGATGTCACTCTTTTTTTTAATAGTTTTCGGTTAAAATTCTGTTATATTACAATGATATTCTATTCATACTATGCTTGATATAGTACATTCACGGAAATGTAATATTTTTGCTGAAATTACGTACATATTACAGTGGAAAGTGGGATAAAATCGTGAAGAAAATAATGATTTTCGCTTTCTTTCGTTCAAAAGATGTTACCGTAATCGCTTTTTGAATGGTTTAGTTAAAAAACTGTTGTACTGTATTACAATAATATTCCCTCCTAATTGACTTGAATAGATACTCGAATAGAAATACTATACAATATTTTTGTTGAAACTACCCGCGTTTCAGTGTAAAGTGTCGTAATAATAAATGGTAAACAATTTGCCTTCGGCACTCGTGTTTCAGGCACGGCGAGCCTCAATTTATTGGACGTAGAGCGTTTTTACTGAAGGTTTTGTTGTTCCAATACCCTTAAAAACGTGGGTTGACCTATAAACGAGGAATATCATAAATTAACAATTTCTTGGTCAAAAAATCAGGGTCGACCTATAAACGAGGAGGGGTTATAGACGAGTATATACGGTATATCGATCTAACATTATGTCTGAAACTTGTATTGGTATCTTGTGACATGCAGACACAGTACAGTATATATTTCCCTCATGGTCTTGAGTTTTTACATTTTATATGGAGTTATTTATATTATTAGATAGAATTACCTTTATCAAACTACAGAATATTTACTTATTAACTACAGTAGAATGATAGAAATTGTGGATATGCTGAACAAAATTGTACAAGGAAGATGTCTGAACAATGACACACTTGTTTACATAATACTAAATCTGGTTTCAAAACTATACTTGTCATTAGCTGTTAGAGTGAGTAGATATTTGTACTTTGCCTTTAAGAGAGTGGGAGATATATTATACATGGTAATTTCTTTTTATTTCAGAACCCTAGATGATTGTCATATTTTAGTATGTGCAATAAACAGGAACTTAAAAATCAGTTCTTTGCAATGATGTGATCAGACTTTATTTCTACTGATTTTTCGGTTCCTGTTAATAATTGTCCTAAAATATAGCTACTAATCATTTAGGGTTCTCAAGTAAAAAAATGATTACTTTGTACAACCACTCCATTATCTAGAATATGCATGTGCACACCTTGGTTAAAGTTTTATGTCCAAGGGCAAATAGGATTGTCTAATATAATAACTGTTGTCATGTCATTGTCATCATGAAGCTTGTGCTTTTGTTTTTTCTCGATTTTCTTTTCTTTTCCCTTTTTTCTTTTCCTCATTTTCTTTTAATTTACAGGAAACTGATGTGTTGAAGTTAGAAAAGGCCATCAGTGGTGGCCAGATTGAAGAAGTGATCCAGCAAGCAGAAAATGAACTAACTCTGGCTCGCAAAATGCTCGAGTGGAAACCGTGGGAGCCCCTCGTCCAGGAGCCAACCCCAGGCCAGTGGAAATGGCCAATTTAAACAAGTTGGCTTCGACTTAAACTGTAAAGTGAACCAATCGTTTTATGTAGGGTACTGTATTCCTCTCTTAGATCTACAGGTGTGTTAATGATAAAACCAGGTACTTCTTCAGTAAAGGTCCATCATTTACTGACACTGATGTTCACCAACTGACACATTTTATTGTACATTATATAAGAATCTGAGGTACAGGTTAATATTTGGATGATAATATTAAGTCTTATGTACTGTTGTCATCTTTAAGAATTTTGTTGTTTTATGAAAAGTTACCCAATACTGTGTGAGGAACTTATAGCATAACTCTTTAACCTTTATATATCCCTGTATGGGCAATGTGGTTCATCTTCTTGTTTAAATAAGTCCCCTGTAGTTCTGGTTTGTGCAACATGTTTTGTAAATATAATAAATCAATAAATTATACATATTGTACTATATTCACAGAGGACTTCATGATTCTTTTAACATGTTCTTTTAGTTCCAATTGATCTATTTTATTTCATCTACATTCAGGCCCTTTAATGTTGTACCAGCCATCCATCACTTTTAACATATACTCTACCTATATACAGTATGCAGAAAGCTCTCAACAGTGTTCGCTGATGATTTTAAATGAGCTTGTTTTCCGTCATTTTGATTTTGGTGGATAATCATAGGGAACTTTGTGATTTGTCTTATAGTGGCATTTCAAGTTACTGGCTTTGTTGTGAGTGAGTGACATATTGCAGATAAGGCACAAAAGTTTATCCCCTTTAATGGTAAATGCAAAGTCTTCCTCCCACTTAGACTTAAAATTTTTTTATTTTTATACTTTTGTTTTAGGCTGTCATTTTCATTCATATAATTTTACAGACAGTTCTAACAAAAAATTGACAGTATTTAAAAGCAATTTATTTTTATAAACTATAAACACAACTTGTATCGTCAGTGTACCAACCAGAAGTGCACAGCTTAATGTCTTGTACTGTATTACACTGTGTAGTAGAGGAGGCAAACCCCACTTTGTCTTTCTGCTGCCATCGGTGGATGCTCTCGGTCTCTTGAAAACACTTAGAAAAAGCTGTCTCCCTTTATGGTAATACAGTTAACATATTGGGAGCCCAAATCCTTCACTAGAACCTCTCAACATTGGCTAAGTACATTCATCCCTATCAACCCTGGGGCCTTACTAGCTGGACTCTGCTCCCCTTTCCTCACTAGGACCCTGACCTGTTTTATTTTATGTCGAAGAATCTCCACATCCACCAAAATGTATCCCAGGTAAGGTATTGATCCATCATTAGCTGCTTTCAACACAAGGCCCTCTGGAGAATGTAATCCAACACCCTAAGATTAAAAAATCTCTATGATAAACTGTCTCTGAGAGACACCTCACTACCAGAAACCAGAAGAGATGTAACCGAGACTCATCCTGACTGCAGTGACAGGAGTTTTCCCCACCAGTCTGTCCTTACTCCACTCTCTGTGTGACCAGCCCACTTGTTCTACCCCTACTGGTGGGCTTCCCTCTTCTCCAGAAATTTCTGACACTCGTGGTGTTTACTCCACTTCTAGACTGCTGAGGGTCCCACCTTGGTGGGCCTCCTTTCCCTCGACCTTGGTTCCGGTGCCAACAGGTGGCCGCCCTGTGCCCCCACTGTCCACATACATAGCACTCTCCCTGGAATGGAAGTGGCCTTTCCTTGTTCAGATACTTAATTTTGTACAAGGTCTGTCTTCACAGTTTGAATATCTACTCGTAATTCAGCAAGCATCTTCTCTACCCCACTCTTTAGATACACTCCCTTGGGGGTTTAATGTTTCTCTCACTTCCTTAACCACAGGCGAACATTTGTTTATGGCTGTAACCACACCCTTAGACGGGTTCTTTTTCTTAATTGGCTGCTTTGTCATTTTCTTTGACTCTTCTGCAGCTACCTGTACCAACTCCTCGTAAGATAATCCAGGTCGGCTACGCACATGCAAACGTAGGCCACTCTGCAACCCTTGATCCCTTAAGCCCTTAAGAAAAACCTCTCAGATTATCCAACCAAGTAGCGACTTGCGCTGGGGCTACTTTCCATTACACCCTGAGTCCTCTGATAAAATCTTACGTTGGAGCTCCCCCAGTGCCAGGTTTTCTCCATAAGTATCCCTTAAAACTGAAAATCCCTTCACTATTACAACTGTCACTCCAAGCCAGTTTCTCCAACCTTTTCTGAGCAGGACCAGTGAGAAATTTAAGAATATAATTGTCTGCCCCACTACCTTTGTAGCCAAACAACCTAATGTTACACTTGGCCTCAGCTACCCACTCGCCTTTATTAATTTGGTCTAAATTATCGGGTGTCCCCGAAAAAGTCCTGAGCTTCAGCCCATGGGCTACCAGTTGGGGGAAAAGATCTACACTCTCCTCTTTATCTGTAGGCTCATCTCTCTGCTCAGACTGTGAGACCCCAGCTTCCATTTTAACACTCTTAGTGGGACTGCTCACCTCCTGTTCCATCAAGTTTGTGAGTTTTTGTACTTGTTTACATAAGGGTAGGATAGTCTGGTGATGCAATTCACTACTGTCGGTGGCCTTGGTCAACCCCTCTTCCGAGCTTCTCCCCTGGAACGTGGTGTGGGGATGGGTAACTCGTGCTTGGCTTCACCAGTCCAACCTCTCTCCACCGCTGTTGATCCTCAGCAGGCGGTGGTGCCATGCTCCTCCCTGGTTGATTTCTGCTATAATAATTACTGCCTGGATGCTGCTTGTTCTTTGCTCTATAAGAGTGAATCCCTACTTACTCATGCAAGCAATTGCATACCCCACATCTCCACCAAGTGTAGCAAGAACAGAGCAGTGGGCTCCCATAGCAGGGAAAGGAAACACACTTGTAATTTTCTCCTTTATTTACTATAGAAATCACCCGAGGAAGGAAAGGCTGGGACCAGCATAACAAGGGGTGAACACTTGGTGCCGACTCATTCAGGGGTGCTGGAGGATGAGTGTCTGTTGCTGGGCCTCGCTAGCGCGCCTTCAGGAAACGTAAACATAAAGTGGCGTCCTTTCTCTGGGCCGGGCTGTGTTCGCTGGTAGTAAACCCCATTTCGAATCCAGAAAATATATTTTTTTCCTCCTCGGGACTTACAAAAATACACATGCATATTAAAAATACTCTAAATCCAAAAAATAGTTGTCTCTGGAGTTTCTCATACCGCTTTCGTGTAATTTACATCTTCAGGGGTGAGTACACACTAATGAGGAGTTATAGACAAGGCTAATATACACAGTAGAGGAGAGTCAAATCAAGTCCCTAGGGACAGCAAATGTCTACCATATTCAGGTCATAGGGTAGTGACCCAACCCTAACCAATCCGTTTAATCACAAAATTGTTCATGCCATTACTAAGCGTTTTCATGTAATTCTAATCTTTAGGGGTACAGATTAAGGAGTAATTGTTGACAAAGCTAATGTATACAGTAAAGGAGATCAAATCCCTAGGAACAGCAGGTGTCCACCATAATCAGGTCATAAGGTAGGGTGACCCAACCCTCTCACCTGGTTACAAATCATCTTGATCACAAAATTGTCCAGTTTGTTTATGCCAGGTGAGAGAGTTGGCGGTGGCGCCGCCAGGGGTTCGCATTGGGCCACTGGTGCTCCCACAGGAACTCCCAAGGTCGGCAGCACCCCCAGGGGTCCTCCCAGATGCAGAGGCGCCCCTAGGGTCCCTCACAGGAGTGACAGCGCCCCTTGGGGTCCTCCCAAAGGCGGTGGTGGCGCCCACAAGGGCCCTCCTAGGGGTGGTGAGGCCGCGATTTTGGTGTTAATGTGTTATTCTGTAAGTACTTGATTAGTTAAACCCTTAAATTTCAATTCTGAGAGAAAAGTATATTTTGGTCGAAAAATTAGATTTTGTTGAAAATCACATTATAGGTACTCCTGAGTATGCTGATTTCGAATATATGTTCCACAATTTGATTGTGGGGTAATTAGGGGCGGCGGTGCTCCCAGATGCGTAGGTACTCACAGGGGCCCTTCCAAGGATGGCGGAGCCCCAGGGGCTCTCCATGGGGCTGGCGGCGACCCCAGGAGTCCGGCCAGGGGTGGCTGCTCTCCAAGGGGCTATCCCAGGGGCGGCGGGGGCCCGGCAAGGAGCGGTGGCGCCCACTGGGGCCTTCCAAGGAATGGCCGCGCCCCCAGGGCCATCCTTAAAGGTGGCGGCGACCCCGAGGGTTCTAACAGAGCCGATGGCATCTCCAGGGGCCTTCTCAGAGGCAGTGGAGTCCCTGGGGCTCTTCCAGGAGCGGTGGCGTTTCCAGGAGCCCTCTTTAGGGGTAGTGGCGACTCCAGAGGTCCTGGCAGGGGCGGTGGTGCACCCAGGGGCCCTTGTAAGGGCTGCAGCGCCCCCAGGGGCATTGTGGGCCTTCTTAGGGGCCCTCTTAAGGGCTGTCGGAGACCCCAAAGGCCCTCCCAGGGGCGGCGGGGGCGCTACAAGGGGCGGTGGCGTCCCCAGGAGATCTTCCACGGGCGGCGGCGCTCCAAGAGCCCTCCTAGAGGGAGGTGGCGCTACCAAGGGCCTTCCCTGGGGCGACGGCACACCCAGGAGCCCTCTCACTGGCGGAAGCGCTGCCAGGGGTCCACTTTAGTGGTAACAGCGCTCCCATGGGACATCTTAGGGGCTGCGGCGCCCATAAGGGCCCTTCCAGGGGCTACGGTGCCTTCAAAGGCACTGTTAAGGGCTGTGGCGACCCAGGGGCGGAAGGGTTGTCTGTGTCTGCTGCGCCACCAAGGGCCCTCCCGGGGCGGTGGCGCCCCATCGGGTCCTCCCAGGGTCGGCCAGGCCCCCAAAGACCCTCCCAAGGGTGGTGGCGATCCCAGGGGCCTTGCCAGGAGCGGCGGTGCTCCCAGGGGCCTTCCCAGAGGCGACTTCGCCCCCAAGGGCCCTTCCAGGGACAGTAGTGCCCCCCCGGGACCCTCCCAGGAGCTGAGGCGCTGCGATTTTGGTGTTAATGTGTTACCCTGTAAGTACTTAATTAGTTAAACCCCTTAAATTTCAATTCTGTGAAAAAAAGTATATTTTGGGCAAAAAATTACCAAGGGGTAAGGCTCACTTTTTCGACAGTTTTGGCCTAAAAATTAGATTTTGTTGAAAATCACATTATAAGTACTCCAGAGCATGCTGATTTCGAACATATGGTCCACGATTCGATTGTGGGGGTGGCGGCTCCCTCAGACACCCTCCCAAGTACAGCGGTGCCCCAAAGAGGTAGTGGCGTACCCTGGAGCCCTCTCAGGGGCAGAGGCACCCCAAGGGCCCCTGTTAGGTGCTGTGGCGCCCCTCAGAGGCCCTACCATGGGCGACGGTTCCTTCCAGGGGCATCGGTGTCCCCATGGGCCCTCCCAAAAGTAGTGAAACCCCCTAACCTAACATACTTTTCTGGAAAGTAGATTATCGGCTTTATGGGGAAGTACTTTGTCGACTTTTGGGGAAATATTGACTAATTTTCCGAAGTAGATTATCATAGAAAACGGGAAATTTGTATCACAGAAAATGGGAAATATCTACTTTCTGGGAAAGTTGGTTATCTACTTATCATAGAAAACGGGAAATTTGTATCATAGAAAATGGGAAATATCTACTTTCCGGGAAAGTTGGTTATCTACTTTCCCGAAAAGTAGATTATCTACTTTAAGGGAAAGTAGATATCGACTTTTTGGGGAAGTAGATAATCGACTTTTGGGGAAATATTACCTAATTTCCCGAAGTAGATTATCATAGAAAACGGGAAATTTGTATCACAGAAAATGGGAAATATCTACTTTCTGGGAAAGTTGGTTATCTACTTTCCCGAAAAGTAGATTATCTACTTTTCGGGAAAGTAGATATGGACTTTTTGGGGAAGTAGATAATCGACTTTTGGGGAAATATTACCTAATTTCCCGAAGTAGATTATCATAGAAAACGGGAAATTTGTATCACAGAAAATGGGAAATATCTACTTTCTGGGAAAGTTGGTTATCTACTTATCATAGAAAACGGGAAATTTGTATCATAGAAAATGGGAAATATCTACTTTCCGGGAAAGTTGGTTATCTACTTTCCCGAAAAGTAGATAATCTACTTTTCGGGAAAGTAGATATCGACTTTTTGGGGAAGTAGATAATCGACTTTTGGGGAAATATTACCTAATTTCCCGAAGTAGATTGTCATAGAAAACGGGAAATTTGTATCACAGAAAATGGGAAATATCTACTTTCTGGGAAAGTTGGTTATCTACTTATCATAGAAAACGGGAAATTTGTATCATAGAAAATGGGAAATATCTACTTTCCGGGAAAGTTGGTTATCTACTTTCCCGAAAAGTAGATTATCTACTTTTCGGGAAAGTAGATATCGACTTTTTGGGGAAGTAGATAATCGACTTTTGGGGAAATATTACCTAATTTCCCGAAGTAGATTATCATAGAAAACGGGAAATTTGTATCATAGAAAATGGGAAATATCTACTTTCCGGGAAGTTGGTTATCTACTTCGAAGTAGATCATCTACTACGAGTCGATAATCTCTTTCCCGAAAAAGTAGATAATCTACTTTTTAGGAAAATGAATATCCTTTTCAGAAGTAGATATTTCCCATTTTCATGATTACAAATTTCCCGTTTTCCATGATAATCTACTTCAGGAAGTGGGTAATATTTCCCAAAAGTCGATATCTACTTCCCAAAGTCCCATATCTACTCGAAAATAGATAATCTACTTTTCGGGAGAGTAGATAACCAACTTTCGGAAAGTAGATATTTCCCATTTTCTATGATACAAGATTTCCCGTTTTCTATGATAATCTACTTCCGGGAAGTGGGTAATATTTTCAAAAAGTCGATAATCTACTTCCCCAAAAAGTCGATAATCTACTTTACCGAAAAGTAGATAATCTACTTTTCGGGAAAGTAGATAACCAACTTTCCCGGAAAGTAGATATTTCCCATTTTTTGTGATACAAATTTCCCGTTTTCTATGATAATCTACTTCAGAAAATTAGGTAATATTTTCCCAAAAGTCGATAATCTACTTCCCCAAAAAGTCGATAATCTACTTTACCGAAAAGTAGATAATCTACTTTTCGGGAAAGTAGATAACCAACTTTCCCGGAAAGTAGATATTTCCCATTTTCTATGATACAAATTTCCCGTTTTCTATGATAATCTACTTCGGGAAATTAGGTAATATTTTCCAAAAAGTCAATAATCTACTTTCCCGAAAAGTCGATAATCTACTTTCCCGAAAAGTAGATAACTACTTTTGGGGAAAGTAGATAAACCAACTCTTCCCGAAAGTAGATATTTCCGCATTTCTATGATACAAATTTCCCGTTTTCTATGATAATCTACTTCGAAATTAGGTAATATTTTCCAAAAAGTCAATAATCTACTTTCCCCGAAAAGTCGATAATCTACTTTCCCGAAAAGTAGATAAACTACTTTTTGGGAAAGTAGATAACCAACTTTCCCGGAAAGTAGATATTTCCCATTTTCTATGATACAAATTTCCCGTTTTCTATGATAATCTACTTCGGGAAATTAGGTAATATTTTCCAAAAAGTCAATAATCTACTTCCCCGAAAAGTCGATAATCTACTTTCACGAAAAGTAGATAATCTACTTTTTGGGAAAGTAGATAACTAACTTTCCCGGAAAGTAGATATTTCCCATTTTCTATGATACAAATTTCCCGTTTTCTATGATAATCTACTTCGGGAAATTAGGTAATATTTTCCAAAAAGTCAATAATCTACTTCCCCGAAAAGTCGATAATCTACTTTCCCGAAAAGTAGATAATCTACTTTTTGGGAAAGTAGATAACCAACTTTCCCGGAAAGTAGATATTTCCCATTTTCTATGATACAAATTTCCCGTTTTCTATGATAATCTACTTCGGGAAATTAGGTAATATTTTCCAAAAAGTCAATAATCTACTTCCCCGAAAAGTCGATAATCTACTTTCCCGAAAAGTAGATAATCTACTTTTTGGGAAAGTAGATAACCAACTTTCCCGGAAAGTAGATATTTCCCATTTTCTATGATACAAATTTCCCGTTTTCTATGATAATCTACTTCGGGAAATTAGGTAATATTTTCCAAAAAGTCAATAATCTACTTCCCCGAAAAGTCGATAATCTACTTTCCCGAAAAGTAGATAATCTACTTTTTGGGAAAGTAGATAACCAACTTTCCCGGAAAGTAGATATTTCCCATTTTCTATGATACAAATTTCCCGTTTTCTATGATAATCTACTTCGGGAAATTAGGTAATATTTTCCAAAAAGTCAATAATCTACTTCCCCGAAAAGTCGATAATCTACTTTCCCGAAAAGTAGATAATCTACTTTTTGGGAAAGTAGATAACCAACTTTCCCGGAAAGTAGATATTTCCCATTTTCTATGATACAAATTTCCCGTTTTCTATGATAATCTACTTCGGGAAATTAGGTAATATTTCCCTAAATGTCGATTATCTATTTCCCCAAAAAGTCGATAATCTACTTTCCCGTAAAGTAGATAATCTACTTTTCGAGAAAGTAGATAACCAACTTTCCTGGAAAGTAGATATTTCCCATTTTCTATGGTACAAATTTCCCGTTTTCTATGATAATCTACTTCGGGAAATTAGGTAATATATCCCAAAAAGTCGATATCTACTTTCCCGAAAAGTAGATAATCTACTTTTCGAGAAAGTAGATAACCAACTTTCCCAGAAAGTAGATATTTCCCATTTTCTGTGATAATCTACTTTGCAAAATATGGTAATATTTCCCCCAAATTCGATAATCTAATCCCTAATCGTAACGAGGTTCATAGATTTGCAATCAGCATGCTCAGGAGTACATATACTGTACTGAGATTTACAAAAAAATAAAATTTTTGGCCAAAAACATAAGTCTTACACCTTAGTAATTTTTTTTTACCAAATTAGACTTTTCTCTCGGTATTGGAATTTGAGGGGTTTAACCAATTAATTACTTCCAGAAGAACACAAAAACACCAAAATCACACCTGGGAAACACATCCCTCCTCTCTCCCCAGCCCTGCACATACCAACTCTTCCTCCCTCCACATACCACCCCTCCCTTCCTCCCTCCACATACTAATCCTTCCCTTCCCCCACACACTGTAATGACCACGGTCGTACACGTAAGTTAACGTTAAATTAGACGATTCATATTACGCTTAATAGTCCACAAAAGATGTAGCTATCCTTTCTTTATTTGAGTCCCCCCTGTCTGAAGAGTCCGTTTTCTCATCGCTTCAGGACGTCTGAGTTCTCCGTTTTCTCTCATTCTTTTAGAGTGCACCTGAGACTTGGTTATTCCTTAGTAATGACACAGAATTACATACCACCCCTCCCTTCCTCCACATACCACCCCTCCCTCCCTCCACATACCATGATTTTGGTGTTAATGTGTTATTCTGTAAGCACTTAATTAGATAAATCACTTAAAATTCAATTCTGATTGAAAAGTATATTTTGATCGAAAAATTAGCAAGGTGTAAGACTTACATTTTCGCAGGTTTTGGCCAAAAATTAGATTTAGTTGAAAATTACATTATAGGTACTCCTGAGCAAGCTGATTTCGAATATACGCACAACGATTTGATTTTGGGGTAATTAGTGGTTGCAATGATGTTTGGAATGTTTAATAACATTTTTCAATGATAATTATCCGCCAACATTGGTTTTCCAAACTGAGATTTTGGTGGTAATGTGTTATTCTGAAAGTACTTAGTTAAACTCTTAAATTTCAATTCTGAGAGAAAACACAAGACGGGGGACCGGGTTTACTTAACATTGATGAACAGACTAAGAGTAAGTATAATGGAACAAGTTTAGGTGTTGGTTAGTGTTAACGCTCATAGGAGCGTTATTGGTTTGTTGCTGGAGAAATAAACCCTCCTACCCTCAACGGTAAACTGGTAAACTCTTATCATAGAAAATGGGAAACTTATCATAGAAAAAGGGACATTTTATCATGGAAAACAGGAAACATTGTAAAAAGTGGGGAAACATTGTAGAAAATGAGAAACATCATAGAAAACGAGAAACTGCAGTGTTTTGGGTTGGTATTCATACGTCCCTGAAGCTTTAAATCTGACATCGCCTAATATGCTCGTGTAACTGTGGACTTTGTTGGGTATTCACTAGACTCAGTAGCTATGTCTATGCCACATTTGAAATCCTCTCACGGCAGCTAAGACATTTACAAATGGTTGGTCGTAAACACAAATCTTGAGAAATGCCGCCTCCCATTTGGCAGTAACTGAGATAAACAAATTGTGTTCATAAATTTACTAGTTCTGAGGACACAATAAGTACTACTGTAGTGTATATACCATACTTTAAAACACTTTTCTGGCCATGATAAGGGAATATTTTCCTCAATTATGACTACAAAGTACACAACGGGGACTAGCAGCCATAATGAACACTGTTGGAAATTGAAGTCATCATCATTATTTTGGTTTCTCCGGCAGCCCGGCAGCCTCATCTACTATCTTCAGATTGCTTCACACACTACACATATACTTATTGAGTAAATCTAATTTCTTCATCTGGAACTTTTATTTGTACACTCTCAGAAGACCGTGCCCAGGTTTTTTCAATATCTTCCAGAGATTTTCCACGCGTTTCTGGTACAAAAAAAGCAACGAATAAGACGTTCGTCAAGCAGCCAAGAGTGTAGGACCAAAATAAACCATGTAGCCCCAATATCTTTTGTACATCCTCAAAGGTTTTAGAGACGAAGAAGGAAGAGATGGCATAACAAGTAACAGAGACACCTAGACCCAGGGAACGCACAGGTCCAGGGAGTATTTCTGTGGCCACCACCCAGCTGGAAGGCTGCACGCCCGCTGAAATGCCAAGTATGTATACTATCATGCCCGCCAGTGGCAGCCAAATTACCTGCATCAAGTCACACCCTTTATATTGCAGGAAAAAGAAAATCCCAATTGCCATTGTGCCCACTGAGGAGAAGAGGGCTCCACCGATAAGAAGAAACTTGCGCGGTAAGTGGTGTAACAGAACCGACCCAATTAAGTTAAACACAAGACGAACTAATCCGACGTTAAATGAACTCCAAAACGGGTTAAAACCTACACCTGTTAATTGGAAAATTCTCACTATGTATATTGACATAACGGAAAGACCAGACAATTCTTTTAGTACTACTATAAGTAAAGATATTATCAAAGGTATGAGGTTTGATTTTCTCTTTAGTAAAAGCAGTGAATGATACCACGAGTCATTTCCTTTCCTGACACACTTTCTCAGCTCTTTTAACTCCTTTTCCGCGGTCACCAGTGACCCCCGCAATTGAAGGAGAGAAAATTTTGCTTCCCTTATTTTTCCATTCCTGATGAGCCAAGGTGGTGTCTCAGGGGCCATGAGGAGGCAGAAGAAGCTTGGTACAGTGGTGATCAAGGGGAGAACCCAGGCGGCCGTATACCAGTGGAGGTAGTTGCCTATTAAGTAACATAGTAAGAAGCCCAAGGTGACCCACGCCTCCGCTAGGCTAGCCAACCAGCCACGGTTTCGGGCGTCGGTTATCTCACTAATATACACTGTGTTTGCTGGGACAAGCACCGCCACGATGATACTCTGAAAGGAAACAAACAAACATTAACTACAATAAGAAAATTGCACGTAGAAATCATAATATATTCATAGTAAATGTGTTTTTGTTAAATTTAAGGTTTCTGTTTGTTTCACACCTTTGGTTTTTTTACACATTTTACATCAAATAGGTCAACATCCACACTCTTGTCTTTCATCACCAAAACTACAGCCATTTATCTCACTCCACTACCTTTTGAATACTGTTTATCAAAACCTTTTCTTATTAAATTATATATGTTTTTATATTCGCCTTTACTTTAATATTTATAAATTTACCTAATTATTTGGACATTACATAAGGATTTTATGTATCTCACATGAAACTTAAAATTAATGTTTCATCCACTAACATTCAGGTTTCAGCCAGCTCACTCCCGCCTTTAACCAAGTCACACCCGGATGACCTGGATGACTTATATCCTGGATGACTCACCGCTTGAATAACGTACCTGGATTACCCTGATACCCATTAAGAAGGCATGGGCTGCCCCTGCTCGCTGAATGACCTTCCAGGACGCCACATGAAGACTCATACAGAAGAAGGCAAGGACAGGAGCGAGTACTAGCATGAGACGTTTAGGTCCTGCCCATTCCCCCACCATCCCCCCCAGCAGAGACCCCGGGATACACATGAACAGTGGCAATGTAGCTGTAAAGGAATAACTGTTAAGTGGGAACGTAGCTTTAAAGGAACATTGGTAAGTGGTAAAGAAATATAACATTGATACACCGAAGGCAACGTCTCCCTCATTCCCCTATTCTCGGATCACCTTAAAATCATGAGTTACCCCAGTTTATTTTACCTAATGATTAAACACTAACGATAACCAGAATAAATTAAGTAGATTAAAGTAAAGAAAAGAGAAGTAAAGCAAGATACAGTAAAGTAGTATAAAGTAAAGTAGATTTAATTAGAAAAATGTAAGCCTAAATAAAGTGAAACAAACCAAGGGACAACCATATACCGAACCAGCTGGCTTGGGACGGTGAGAGGATGAAGGTGGCGTTAGTGTTCCTGACCTGCGGGAGGATTACAACCGAGTAGCCAGACACCGCCCAGATACCACTCGACAGCAGACCCGAGGACACTACTGCCAACACCTGTCACACAAATTACAGCTCAAGTCGACAGAAACCAACAGGATATAATAAAAAATAAAATATACGAAATCAAATTAACATTGTACTTATATGATCTAAAAAAAAAAAAACCCAGAATATTGTGGTGTTAAATGTTATAGATTATATCTAGTACATTATTTGTTGAGTTCAATACATAGGAATAAACAATATATCTATGGTTCTAGGCTGTATAAGATCTATGATAAATTACCGCCCACCAGCCCCGGCCCTTTGTGACGGGAAAGACATTGATAAACTTGAAGAAAAAAATTATCCTAAACAGTCCCATGAGCATTTAAGTACTTTATGTGAGGTATGAGGATGTTTGAAGCTAGGGATGGGGTGCACCTGTCTAGGGATGGAGTAGCAACCCTGGCTGGGGCTCTAGAGGGGGCAGTTCAAAAGATATCGAAGTCTTTAAACTGCTAAGAGAACATAGGAGCACGGGGGTGGAGGAGACTGCAGTGGGAGCGGGTAAACAAGGCGAAAGATTACAGGGAAATAGTGTTAGGAATGATGACAAAACTAAATTAGACAGGGAGTTTAAAACTAAACGCGGTAAGGGAAGGACTCAGAACACGACTAACTTAAATGTATACTACGCGAACAGTAGAAGTATGAGAAACAAAATGGATGATATTAAGGCCTTGGTATGTACCGAAGAAATCGATATAATTGCATTCACTGAAACATGGATCAACCTAGACACACGTGAATTACCAGTCGAATACCAAATTGCGGGTTACAAACTGTTCCATACCGATAGGCAGACCAGGAAAGGAGGCGGAGTAGCAATCTATGTTAGGGATAATCTGAAGTGTGAAATAAATAAGGAAATAAAAACTGAGAGGAATACAGAAACAATTTGGATAGAATTAAGCGACGGTCGGGAAAAATTAATCACAGGGGTAATATATAGACCCCCCAATCTTGATAGCGTCAATGAGCGACTTATCTGGGATGAAATGCGCAGGGCTTCCATACACAACAAAGTCTGTATAGTAGGCGACTTTAACTTTGGCCAAATAGATTGGACTGTCCTTACGGGTAACTCAGAATCAGAGGATTTTCTCGAGACGATCCAGGACTGTTTCCTAAGTCAACATATAACCGAACCCACACGGGGTAATAATATACTGGATTTAGTTCTGACGAACAGAGAAAACCTCATTAGCAATGTCGAGGTAGGGAACGAACTTGCAAACAGCGATCACAAAGAAATTCGATTCCAGTTAGATTTTCAGGGCAGACGTAAGGAAAATTCCACTAAAGTACCAGATTTCAGAAGGGCAAACTTTGACAGTTTAAAGAGGCAGCTGAGAGAGGGGGTGTCGCGCTTGGCCGTGAACCTGACAGATGACACCGACCTGATAACGAGATCTGAGATTGCCGAGTTCCACGATAATTTAAATAGTGAGTTACTTAATGCACAAAGGCAGAACATACCATACAAAAAACTCAGATCAGACAACAATGACCCTAAATGGATAAATAATTATTTAAAGAACATCATTGGCCAAAGGAAGGCTATAGGTAGAAGGATAAATCGTGGCGAAATTCACCTCCGGGACTATTATAGGGTATTGGCGAGTAGAGTTAAAACCGAGATAAGGAAAGCAAAGAGGAATAATGAGGTAAGGATAGCAAGGGAGGCGAAGACAAACCCCAAAGGATTCTACCAAATGTATCAAACTAAAACACGAGAAAAGATTGGACCAATACGGTCAGACTCCGGCGAGCTCACTGATAACGACGGAGAAATGAGCAATAATTTGAATAAATATTTTTCAACAGTTTTCACCACCGAAAATCTAAACATGATACCCGAGGCACCGACTCTATTCAGAGATAGTGAAGAAAACAAATTAAGTGAGATAGTAGTGACTAGTAACGATGTTAGTAAGCAAATAGACAAACTAAAGCCTAATAAGTCACCTGGTCCCGATGAGATATTTGCCAGAGTATTAAAGGAATGTAAGGAAGAGCTTAGTATGCCCTTAGCAAAGTTGTTTAACATGTCCTTAAAAACAGGTGTAGTACCAGAATCCTGGAGGATAGCGAATGTAATACCGATTTTCAAGAAGGGGATAGATCACTATCCTCTAACTTCCAATCAGTCTAACATCAATAGTAGGCAAATTACTGGAAGCAATCATTTCAAACTCTATTCGAAATCACCTGAGGACCTATTGCTCAATGATTCCCAGCATGGCTTCACAAGCGGACGTTCTTGCCTAACTAATCTATTAACATTCTTTTCATCAGTTTCGAATCAGTGGACGAGGGCACACTATGATGTGGTATATCTCGACTTTAGCAAAGCCTCGACAGAGTCCCCACGAAAGACTAATTAGAAAGGTAGAAGCTCATGGCATCAAAGGTGCATATCCTTAAATGGATTAGGCGTGGTTACGGACAGGAAACAGCGAGTGAGCATTAACGGCACTAAGTCCCATTGGAGCAACGTCACAAGTGGAGTTCCCCAAGGCTCAGTACTTGGACCATTATTGTTTATTATATACATAAACGACATAGATATCGGCATAGACAGCAACATAAGTAAATTTGCTGATGACACTAAAATAGGACGTGTTATTAAATCTGACGAGGACTCACAAAACTACAGGAAGATCTAAACAAATTTTTCGAATGGTCTGAAAAATGGCAGATGAAATTCAACGTGGACAAATGTAAAGTACTCAGTATAGGAGATGTAAACAGGGAAACCAGATACCAATGAACAACGATGCCATAGAGAAACCGACAAGTAGAGAGATTTAGAGTAATGATAAGTAGGAACCTTGGGCCAAGTAAACAATGTGTTTTTGCTCGTAATACAATAAAGTACGGGTTCATACAAAGGAGTGTTAGTTACAAGACTAGCAGGTCATCCTAAAACTGTATCTTGCTCTTGTGAGACCACACCTGGATTACGCAGTTCAGTTCTGGTCACCGTATTACAGAATGGATATAGAATCCTTGGAAAGAATTCAGAGGAGAATGACAAGACTAATCCCGGGCATTAGGAACCTTGAGTATAGAGACAGGTTAAAGCATCTTAATTTGCACTCCCTCGAGAGACGTAGAGCGAGGGGCGACCTGATAGAGGTGTATAAGTGGAAGACAGGGCTAAACAAAGGGGACATTACAAAGGTACTCAAATTATCCAACCAGGAGCGAACTCGTAACAATGGTTTTAAATTAGACAAATTTAGATTTAGGCGTGAAATAGGTAAACACTGGTTTGGAAACAGAGTAGTGGATGAATGGAACAAGTTACCAAATATCATCATTAACTCGAATACGCTGAATTGCTTCAAACATAGGTTGGATGCTCATATGAGCAATAGGGGTTGGTTGTAAACGGGACTGCCCAGTATGGGCCAATAGGCCCGCTGCAGTTTCCTCCATTCTTATGTTCTTATGTTCTTATGTACAACAACGCTTTTTGACACACTGGCGGATAGTTATCTTCAACATCACAACATCCACACACACACCTAAACGATTGACCACACACAAACCTTAATTCTAATACACAGCCAGAGTGAGAGCTCTTGAACACACACATAACCTGCACTCTGATAATAACATCACACAGACCATCTACACTGACGGCTCTCTTAACACTGTCATTGCGACTTGGTTTAACAGTAATGTAATAGAGAAAAGAGCTAGAATTAGTAACTGGTCATCCATTCTACAAACTGAACTACACCTTTTCACATATCCTTTGAGACATTGTTATATAACTATTTGACAAATTTCATAACCGAATGACAGACAGAACACATATCGAATGACAATCTAAAATAACTGTTGGTGGTATGTCATTCTCCAATTGTTACATTCTCCAACTATATGTAGACTGTCGGTTTAGTGTTCACGTCTGTCAACTTCATAACTTATGTCAATCATTTCCGTTAGCATGAACGAACAGTTATTTTAGATTGTCATTCGATATGTGTTCTGTCTGTCATTCGGTTATGAAATTTGTCAAATAGTTATGTAACAATGTCTCAACGGATATGTGAAAAGGTGTATTTGCCATACTCACAGACCTGAAACTTGTTGAAGACACTGCCACTGACAGTCTAATCATCACTGACTCCTTATCCTCACTACTTGCTCTTGATACCCTAAACTCAGATTATCACCCGCTTGTCTCTGAAAAAAACTCAAACACATGTGTCTTGTTGACAGCTCAGTGAACATGATGGTGTTGAAGCCTTAGCTAAAACTCACGTAGCAACGGGGAGGGGGGGGGGGATGTGGGTGGGTGAGTTTTTTGTAGAGAAAGGAGGGAATGAAAGAAGATTAGAGGAGGGAGGAAAAGGCTAATAGTTTGAAAATTTAAGAAATATAAGAAGAGGTAGTAGGTGGCGGCCAGACTGCTTTGCTACTGATTAGCTAAGTTAATTGTATGTGAAAGTTGTGCCCTGGGCTAGTTATTGTGGTTGATTTCCTTGGAGCTGTTTTTTCGAATGGCTGTCCGCTTTTGGCAACACTGGCGTGAGTGGTTGGTGGGAGGCGGGCCGAGGAGGTGAAAGGCAGACAATGGAGGGAGGGAGAGGTTAGGTGACATTAGAGCTTATTTTTGACACATATTTATACCTCGTGAGTAAGTCTTCCTCATCCTCAAATTCGCTGATCTTAAAATTTCTTTAACATGATAATTTTCTAGTTTATACTACTTATACCTAGCAACTCTGTGTTTGTTTACATCGTATTAAAACTCCTGGAATGACCCTGAGGAACCTCTCAATAGTAGCCAGACTAAGGATGTTAGATAAGCATTCCACAGTTGGCACATCTCACAAAACAGCCACTGTACAAGGTATAAGTGCAGGCGACTGTACGTATTTGGAGTCAGAAGATGGCTGCCACACAAGAGGTTTAAAATAAAGTTATCAGTACAGAAAACTATCAGAGCAAACATCCTTGGAGCGTAAGTTGTAAACTGTTGTATAACCTGCCAGAGAAGTTGTGACAGCCCCAATTGTGAGCTCCGGTTAGACCAGGCTTGACCAACACTGGTGCGTGCTCACGGACTGTATTTTCAAGAGCTAGTACATGTCCAGCTCTTGGTCAACGTATAACAGAAAGCCAATACATGCACGGTATTGGCATCAGTGTGTAACAAGAGAGCTCGACATACCCAGCACTTGCCAGTCATTATTGTCATTATACTGTGTAACAATGAAAAGACCGACCGCTACCTTTCCCAGACAGACGAAATTATTCAATCAGAAATATCACTTATATTCCCCTCGTTAATGTGAACTACTTTTGAAAGATTTGTTTTTTAAATGTGTTCAATGAAAAATAATTACTGTTAATTTATCAACTGTGTAATGAACAACTGACTCTGAAAATAAAAGAGAATTCTAGACACAATGACCAAACTGTGTAGACACTCCAACTGGTTCACACTGGTATTAACTAATGTAAACTGAATCTGAGGCAACTGTGTGTGTATGTGTGTATGTATATGTGTTTATAGATAGCATATGTATGTTGGCTTCAATCCTACGTTACCACATAGCCAATCCCTGATATGTAAATCCTGAACTCTGAAGTGTAAATTCGAAGGATTTGCTAGTGAACGGAAGGGAGAGGGTGTGTCGGGGCGGGGGAAGCTTAGGGTAATGGTGGTGACAGAACGTATACTGTATGCTATATCAGTTGGAGGTAATTACAATGCAAGATAAAACTTGACATTACTGAAGGGGGCCTCCTCAGCTGAGTGTAATCGTCTAGTGTTATCAGATGATAATACTTAAGTTAGAATAGGATAAAAGGAGGATGAATTCATGTTCTAAAAGGTGTACCTGTGTTATTGTTGTGGGTGGAGGATGTGTACCTGTGTTATTGTTGTGGGTGGAGGATGTGTACCTGTGTTATTGTTGTGGGTGGAGGATGTGTACCTGTGTTATTGTTGTGGGTGGAGGATGTGTACCTGTGTTATTGTTGTTGGTTGTGAAATATTTATCATACTTAACCGTATCTAATCTAACCTAAATTAACCGAACTTAAACCTAACTCAACCTCACCTAACCTAACCTACCCGAGCTAATGTAATCTAACTGAATCTATATTAACCTAACCAACCATAATGTAACTTAACTTATACACACCTATAGTAACTTAATCTATGACCTAACCTAACCTACCTTACTGTAACCTATCTTATATAAAACCTATGCTAACTTAACCTAACTAAGCCAAGTTAAAGGAAACGTAACATAACCGAACAATAAAGAAATAAAAACCAAGTAAATATATTAAATAAAAACACGACGGGGAAACACTTACTATCGTAGGAACTCCCCGACCGGTGTTCTCCGCCCTGTAACAAGGTAAACCAATTTAACATACGTGTAATTAAGGTTATTATCTATTCAAAACAACCGTAGATAAGACCTCAATGCAAAATAATCTCTTTACACAGGTTGATCGAAAAGTCTCTGTGCACCTACGATTGCTAATGATGTGGTTATTCCTTGTTATAAGTAGAACAAGGTGCATATGGACTTGATGATCACCGTAGTTTATGTGTTGAAGAGTGTGTACAGGGTAGGAGAAGGAAGGTGAGGCAACATTAGCTCACTGTGTCAGATAAGAGAGGATATCAAAGGGACCCTGAATATAACCAGACACACGGACGACCAAGCAAGGACTGGAGATTAATTTTTTTATAATTATGTAATATATACTTAGCCAATCAACCCATGTTCTCGGTAAGTCTGTAAAATGTAAATTGAAGTAGACGGTGGTTATATTTTTGTTAGTGTAATTATGAACATTAAGTTAATGAGTGTGCGTGTAATACTAAATTAATTTTGATTTTACCGCTGACATCATCCTGTTATCGGTAGCGCAAAAAAAGATTACAGAGTAGAGGTCACAAAGGGTGTTCATCAGAGCCCCAGTGGTCAGAGATAAAGTGCATTACACACAATATACTTGGACCTGTTTCTAGAGTTCTATTTAATGGTCTAAGACGTGGTGTTGGAGAGTGAGGTCATATGTCAGGCTTGCACACTTTGCAGTTAATTTCGTTCACTCCTCCAGATGTATTTATATCCTAACCTTATTTTAGTGGTTACTGTTAGATGTTCTGGGTAATAAGTTCTATATACAGGAGAGAACACAAACACCTGTATAGTTTTGTAGGTTCGGTTTACTGGATAAGAGTATGTACACAGAGGTGGATAGCACTGCTCCCTAGCTAAGGTCCTGGTCAACTACCATAGACGACGTATGGCAAGTGATACATTAGCAGCTTCCATACGTCGCCAGGCACATTAATTAAGCGTGTGGGATATGGTAATAACATTGCCACACGCTGCTAGCTAGGCTGAATAAATATAAATGGAGCACATACATAATATACATACATAATACATAATCCAGCATACATAATATACATACACCTCCCTCCCCCCTATACGCTCATAGCAAAGTCTTGAGCGGACCTTTTCTTCTGGATCCGTTCTGAGCGTCGAGGGACTTCATCACTGGGAAGGGTATGGGACTCAACACTGGTGGCGGGGCCAGCAGAAGGCAGTGTTACGGGGCGGAGAAAACGGCGGTTCCTCCACCACACACGACCACTGGGTAACCGCACCTGGTAGTCCCGTGACCTGCCGAGACCCATGACTACGCCTACTTTGTCCCAACGTAGGGAGGTCGGGTCCTGAACACGGACTTGGGTGCCGACACTCAACCTGGGGAGAGAACGGGCGTGGTCGTTGTAGCGGGCGACGACGTCCTGAACACGTTCGGCGGCTCGGCGATCACAATCCTCTGTCTTGGCCTGCCACTCCTTGGAGAAGGATTGAGGGTGAGCAGGGACACAAGAACGAAGGGGGCGTCCATACAAAACCTGGGCAGGGGAGCGTCCGGTGTAGTTGGGTGTGTTGCGGAGTTCAAGAAGACCCCGGTCGAAGGCCTCGCAGTCAATATTCCCAGAAGGGGCCACCTTAAGGATGAGGTGCTTCAAGGATTTGACAGCAGCCTCAGCGTGGCCGTTGGACTGCGGGTAATGGGGCGATGACAACACATGCCGGACTCCCCATCGGTCAAGGAACGCAGCAAAGTCCCGGCTTGTGAACTGAGGCCCTCCGTCGGTTCGCAGGCGTACAGGAACGCCCACGTCACGGAAGTAGTGGCGGAACTTGCTGATGGTGGCGGCAGACGTCGTGTCATTACCGCCCTTGATGACAACCGGCCAACCAGAGAGACGGTCGACGATAACCAGGAAGGACTTTCCTGACACACAGAAAAAGTCGGCCGACACAGACTCAAAGGGGCGGGTGGGGTTGTCGTCACTCATGAAGGGTACCTGCTGCTGGCTGGGTTGTAATACGTGGCGGGGCTTACACACCTGGACAGCATTGGAGATGTCGGGGTCGATGCCAGGCCGGAACACAGTCTGTCGTGCACGTCGTTTGGTGGCCTCAGCTCCACGGTGACTGTCGTGAAGGCGAGCCAAGGCGTGGGGACGTGATGCAGCAGGGACAACTACCGAAGGAGAGGTGTCACTGGCCAGAGGTAGGGGTAGGGCGGCAGCAGGGTAGTTGCTGCTCCCTTCGTGCACCCTGTTGGCGTAATTTACCTCGAGAATCGGTGTTGGGAAGTCCTGGGAGATGATGGCCAACTCTTGACAATGTCTGTAGGACAGCAAGGGAGTCGGGACACCATTATGCACGTCAATCCAGGCCTGACACGACCTGTTGCCAAAGGTGACATGTGCATAGAGTGAACCCAGGGCTGGGGCCATCTGTGAACCATCTGCCATGATGCAGAGGTCCTCGGGAGGCGGTCCTAGATCGCTTGGAGAGAGCCCCAAGCATCGCAAATGCTGGGGACCGATGACTGTAGCATCAGCGCCGGTGTCGGGCAACATCTGAAGACGGGATGACACACCGCCGTAGGTCACGATGACGCTGATGTACTGGGGGACTTTGGTCCTGGGATGCGAGGAGTACACCCTCCTAAAATGGGTCGGGCTTTGTCCAGGGTCGTCGTGCCTCTGATTTGGCGACTGTGGGCGGCCCTCACTGGTAGAAGGGCGCCGAGGCTTCCGCCGACGCTGTCCCTTGGGTTCGTGGGTAGGGCAACACTTGTCATAGTGGCCCAGACGACCGCACACATTGCACTGTACGTACTTAGCTGGGCACCGCACTGTGAGCGACCAGTGGCCCATACGGTCACAACTGTTGCAGGTAGACTGAGCAGCTGGACATACCTGTGTTCCGTGCTGCTTACCACAGTTGTTGCAAAATGAACCGGGCGTGGACGTGGTGGGCGAAGGCGTAGGAGCAGACTTCTTGTCCTTCTTGTACCGGGAAACAGCGCGTACAGCTGTAGGGGGAGCTCGGATGGCAGAGGTGGCACACCTGGCAGCCTCATAGGAGCGACATATCGTCAACACATCCTGAAGAGAAGAGGAAGAGTCGAGGGAGGTGAGGCGTTGGACAAGTTCCTCGTCCTTAACACCCATCAGGATCACCTGCTTCAACTGGGTCTCCTCGCACTGCTGGTGGTGGCCTAAACATATATCTACCTCTTCCGAGGCTCTCTTAAGACGTACATAAAAAGCGTCAAAAGACTCACCCTCCATCTGTCTGCAGCTAAACAATTCCCTCCTGCGCAGAGCTTCATTCTGCTGTCCTTTGATGTGCCGTTGTAGAACGTCCAGTACCTCCTCTACAGACAGCGAAGAGGTTGGGGGTACCTGCAACGTATGTTCTAAGACACGCTGAACTTCCAAGGACAGGCACATACGCAGCTGGATGAGTTGTTTAGGCTGTGACAAACTCTGGAGATCCACCATTGTAGCATAATCAGCCCACCGCCGCCGCCATTCGCGAAAAGTCTGGAAATTTACATCAGGCTCCAAGATGGGCGGTGTTTGAGCTGCTGCTTTAGGTGGGGCTGGGGGGCGTGAAGGAAGCATGGATGAGGTATCTGAACCATTCAGTACCGAGGCAGTGTTAGAGCCAGGGGCTTGGTTAACAGTGAGGCGAGATATCAAGGCTTCAAACCGTGCACTGTCTTCCATTCTCCGTTGGTGGTCTCGTTCTGCCTCTGCTTGCCTTCTGTGCTCATCCGCCAAACGTCTGTGAGCTTCATCCTCGCGTCTCTCATCTCTCATAAACTTCATTAAGGCAATTATCTCTGGAGATAACGCTGAATGTTGAGGTGAAGGGCTGCGCGATGTTGTGGGAGCTGGGCCGGCCTGGTCATCCATCTCTGGGGGACTATCATCCGCTTGACTCATCCAGGCGCTGGGTCCACGGCTACGTAAGGCATGAGACATAACTACTTTATCTGTGTACTGTGTCTTAAATCAGTGTTGACCGGTCAGCCCGTCGTATCAACAAGATTTCAGACAAAAAAATTTAATTCAATACACAGATAAGTAGGTTATATATATAAAATATATATAATGAAGCCGCGCGGTCAGCAAGTGTTAGTACATGTATGTGTGTGTGTCCCAGGCAGGCAGAGCGTCTCGCCCCAGCTGTGAGGGGGGGTGGAGGCGGCGCTGTGAGGGAGGGGGGTGGAGATAGGAGTAGCTCAGTCGCTCTCTGTAAACGGTCAGAGGAGGGTGCGCTGAGCTCTACACCCCACAAATGCCCAGAACATGCCGTATACCTTGGAAATCCGTTCGAACAAGGTCACACATGAATGGCACGAAACACACAATGCACTAAACACTTCACAGAAAATCACTGTCACTGACACTGCTCAAAGTTGCGAAATTCTTCGAGGGATGACGCGGGGTTGACCCAAGGCGGGGATCCATCAGCCGGCTTTCCACAAACTTGCACTAATCACTCGTAATAATCCAGTAAAACTACGCACTGCGCCATGTTAGATGTTCTGGGTAATAAGTTCTATATACAGGAGAGAACACAAACACCTGTATAGTTTTGTAGGTTCGGTTTACTGGATAAGAGTATGTACACAGAGGTGGATAGCACTGCTCCCTAGCTAAGGTCCTGGTCAACTGCTATAGACGACGTATGGCAAGTGATACATTAGCAGCTTCCATACGTCGCCAGGCACATTAATTAAGCGTGTGGGATATGGTAATAACATTGCCACACGCTGCTAGCTAGGCTGAATAAATATAAATGGAGCACATACATAATATACATACATAATACATAATCCAGCATACATAATATACATACAGTTACAACATCGTGTAATCTAGTGATCTTGTTACTTGCTCCATATACAGGTGCTACTTGATACAGACCCTAATCTAACTTAATCAATCTACTTTAACCCAATTTGATTCGATCCAGTCTTATCTAACCTAACCTAGTCGAAATAACGCAAGGTTGAGTCAAGTGGTCATATCAGAGCTTTAAGATAGAAAATGGCATTATAAGTATAATTTGAACCAAAATTACTATAACTACACTAATTACCATGAGATTACGTGTTATTAACTATCATTAACATGTTATCATGTCATTACTAAACTAAAAGGCCTTTAAGCGCGTAACAAGTTTAACAATTACACTAACTAGCCAAACAGTTAAAAAAATCTGTATATGTTTACACGCTTCAACAATCAAGGGGTTTAACTACTTGTGAGCGGGATCCCCTCTGTGGCGTCACCGTAGTGATGACGTCAGGGGAGACAGTCTTACATAAGTGTTACAAATCTAATACTCACACAAGTTCATCAACAATTAAATGGTTAAGAGAAACAAAATTCGCAGATTATAACAACGTGAAGAGTCTTAGTAATTGTTGAGTTCAATATAAAAAGGACACACAAATAGTGAGAGAATTTGATTGTCTTTGACATGTGATTTTTATTCAGAGCAAAGAATAATAAATGTGTGAGAGTATATGTTAGAGTTACTTTATAGGGTTAAATTATAGTGCTCAGGGGGTTGAGTAATAGGTCAAGGGGTTAAGGTAGTGCGCCCAAGGGGTTAAGTTATAGTGCCCAAGGGGTTAAGTTATAGTGCTCAATAGGGCCAAGATCATCCACTTACAACATAATTCAGTTTGACATTTCCCAAGTCCTGATACTGGTGGCCTTTACCGATCGATTTATAAGTGTGTGTGTGTTTAAGAAGCATATTATTATTAATTTCCTCTCCACAAACACGATTACAGGCTCACACAATAAACATTACAGAAGTACACAAGTATTATGTCTCAGGACACGTGATGGGGCAGACAAGGTAACTATTTACAGCAACACGCGACTGCCAATATTGTCCAACCTTCACTGTGCAACATTAACTCGAGGTATTCAAGGACAGATTAGCGCTGGTCCTTGGTGTAAATATCGGGAGGCATTGTTGTGTTATAAACATATATTACCAATTCTATATATTAGCAGAGTCATGATCTCTTCGCCGTAAACACCGCCCACTCCCTAATTTTTGTTCGGGTAAGGCAGCAAAAACGTCAGCACTGACACTAGACACTAGTGTTGACGCCAGCGATGAAAACCCTCCCGGCGATGCCAGCACTTACGTCAGTGGCGATGACACTCCCGGTGGTAAACACCGCCCCCAGTCGCTACATCTGGTGTGGTTGTGGGGTTCGTGGTGTTTTGGGTTCACACTCAGGATGGGATGGAGAAAGGAAACTCACAATGTGCTCTCTGTATACATGTTGTATTGGATGAACAATGCAGCTTGGTGCTGGGAAGGCAGCATGGTTACAAGCGTTGAGTAGAGAGAGCTGGTTGGTGAGGGTGCTCAGAGGAGGACAGCTTGTGAGTTGTGGGTCGCCATGCTCGCCGGGGAGAGCGAGGGCCGCCAGGCAGCGGCGGAGGAGGTGGTGTTGCTGGCTGGTTGGTGTAGGTAGAAAAGGGGCAGGTCACCACGAGGTCAGGTCTTAAATAGCGGAGGTAGGCGTGGCTTAGTAGTTGACCTCCGTCATGTAAGGCGGCGCTGGTTGACCCAGACCACGAGGCACACACTGTGGAATTCGCTGGGTCGACTACCCATCGACAAACAGCGTTTGTAGGGGAGAAATCCACTACATGGTAACAGGCCGTGTGGGGTGGGGGAGGCACATGGTTGTTGATACCAACCATAAAGCCAGCAGCGATAACATTTATATTATCTTATCTTTTCGTTATATTCTTATGTGTAAACTTTTCGTTACACCAAAATAAAACACTGCCACAGTTATCCCATTGTCTCTTGCTTTATTAAATCCAATTCTTCGTCTCAAGCTCTTTTAACACCTTCAATACGGGGACGCCACCTTTATATTTTAATTTAAATAACGTTAGACGATTTTATTCATCTCAGAGGCGCCGCTGTGCCCAATGGGTTAACATTATACATAGAATTTAAGTCACTTAATCTCGATAAGTTTGTTGACACTTTTGAGAAAGCGCAGCTTCATCTTAACAGTTGTATACTGAAACCGCCAACCCATTGTTTTGAGAGTTCGGGTTCCTCACACGCGGCTGTGGATTGGGCTGCACTTCTAGCTGTTTACACCGAGTTCTCGACTTTTGCGTAATTGTTGACTGCGGTATATTGATTACTACACCTCTTTATTTTTTAGGGCAAATTGTATCAAAGAGATTAAATGTGTCTGGAGTGTATCTTGCGTTAACAGAGGCAAAGGAAAGGACACCGCACGACGTTGCCCAAAGTCAATCCGATGTTAAAGAATACAGTGTTTTCAGTAAGAGTTAGTCCACAACAGTGTGGGCTATTTTCTTCATAGATATCTCAAAAGGCTCCAATTTACTCTATTTAGAGACAAGTGCAGTTGGTTCCACTCCTGCGTTTACCAATTAGCGTTGCCAGTCCTCGCTCTCCCTGAGGTCTGACCCCTTAAGTGAGAATTCGAAGAAATTGCGAGTGAACGAAAGGGAGAGGGAAACATGTGTCGAGGTAGTTGTCTTTCTGTGAGGGGGAAACGGAGTACTGGGGGGTGAGGAGGGAAAGTGTATATCATTTGGGAAGATTACAATACCGATGATGTTTCCTCAGCTGAGTGTAATCGTCTAGCGCTGCCAGATGAAAATACTGAACTATTGTAACTTCAGTAACTGAAGTTACAATAAGATAAGAGGGGGATGAATTCATGCTCTAAGTAAGGTGTTCCTCTGTAAACGGGGACATTTATGAGAAAAATGGATATGTTTCAATCAATATCTTGGATAAGCTGCTTCTACAAGATATAGATTGAAACATCCATAATCCATTTGTACGGAACAAATCAAAACAAGAATAGGTAAAGCAAAAACAGCATTAATTTTAATAATATAAAAGACCTAATGAAAAGGGATGTTAACCTTAATGTTAGAAAAAAGTTGCTGAAAGGCTTTACAGTATTTGGCAAGGACTAATGTATGGATACTTTCAGCAGAGGTTGTAGGCCTTTGAAATGTGGTGTAATAGGCGAATGCTAAGAATAAGCTACATTGACAAGAAAACAAGTGAAGAAGTACTATAATTAACAAACACTTCAAGAGAAATATTTAAAATATGAAAAAGAAAAGAAAAGTGAGATACTTGTGGTCATATAATTAGTGATGGTGGAATAATAACAGAAATATTAATGGACAAAGTTGATGGTAGGAGGGCCAGGGGAAGGTAGAGACTGGGATGGGTGAATGAAATTAAAACTTGGTCCACAGAGAGATAAAAAACCTTAGATGATTGGTCAAAACAGCCTGAGAACGTTTAGAGTGGTGGACTGTGGTCGCCAACCCTCAGATATGATGACGGTACAGTGATTGATTGACCATGTCCAATAACATCGCTGTGGTCATATCGATACCTCGGGGAAAGGCAAGTATGAACTTTTCATACTTCCCTGTTGGGCGCTGTAAACGCTTCTGCGCTTCACCTTGCACAGGATGTAAGGGGGTGCCCAATAAACTAACCCCCTCGGGGGCAAATCTGAATCTGATACCTCGGGGAATGAAGCAGCAGATAGACTTGCCAATACCGGCACTTACAAGGTCACACCTGATTATGTCGTCCCTCGAACAATTCGACAACTTAGCACACAAATTCATCCCAAACAGAGAGAGGCTCAGGAAGCAGACATTCTCTTGGTCTCCCCGCCCACCCGGTAAGATGCTCTCTGTAAACTTCCTGACTTCTCGTGTGTGTGTACGGGAAAGGGTAATGGAAGAAGGACGTGGTTGCTGCTCGAATCATCATCGGGTACGATTTTGCTTGGGAGGTTGGTATCCCCAGCTCCCCAGAACAATGTGATGTGTGTTATGCAAGAGTGCTGACTGCCGCACATTCATCCACTACCTCCCGAGATTATACCACCACTCCGCGACCTCCTGACGGAGGCACGATGCTTATTATCTGCATACTGACCAGATATTTCAAAAATAATATAAATATTATTTTGAAGGAATGACCTTCCTTCCTTAGGCTTTAGTAAGCCTCTTTATATTATTAAATTTATATGTACAGTACTTGAGACTCCTGCCAGATGCTTCTGGTAACACTGAGCCTAACTAGTATAGTATGTAAAGTATTTGAGAGCATTATAAGATATGCCATGATGTAACATGTACTACGAAACAACCTTGTAAATGATTGCCAACACGGTTTTATGCCGAGGCGCTCCTGCTTAACACAATTACTCAAGGTATTAGATATTTGGTAATATCGACAATATATATACGTAGATTTTCCCAAGGCTTTCGACATTGTACCCCATGAAAGGCTGAAAATTAAACTGGAAGGGTCCAGGATTCTAGGAAATGCCCTTGCGTGGATCAGAGACTCTACATGACCTCAAGCAGTGATGTGGTGATAAATGGCACGAAATCATCATGTGTACCCATCACAAGAAAATTCCACTGTTCGTTCATGCTAACGGAAGTGATTGACATAAGTTATGAAGTTGACAGACGTGAACAATAAACCGACAGTCTACATATAGTTTGAGAATGTAACAATTGGAGAATGACATACCACCAACAGTTATTTTAGATTGTCATTCGATGTGTTCTGTCATTCGGTTATGAAATTTGTCAATTAGTTATGTAACAATGTCTCAACGGATATGTGAAAAGGTGTAGTGGTCACGCAACACTTCACATGACGAAAAATTCGACTCCTTAAACCTTTAAAGGAACAGAGGAACAGAGATTATAAGGAAGTAAGATCACGTGACAGCAAGAGAGACACTTACCCGGGAGCGATGTGGTGACGTACCTCCTCAACCTCCATGTCCTGCTTGACTGTTGAAGTCGTCTGCCAAGAACTCACACTGTGTCGACCCACCGAAAGTGACGTCACACTACCAACTTGACACCACAACAGGGAAAACTAGAGAGACGGTTTGGTAACTACATGTATATAGAAAATTACCCTTTGTCTTACGATTTTTATGATTCTTGGATAATTTTTAATGAGATCACATTCATTTTAATAGTACATTCTATTTACAACGCTATTCACAATAAACTTTTGACAGCACACTATTGGCAACTCTATGACGTCACCCATCACATTGTTCTTGTATGCCAGTTAACGTGTCTGTCTGTCTGACAGTCTGTTATTCTCTCTCTCCCTCCCTCTTTCTGTTTATCGGTCTCTCTCTTTCAAAACACCAAGTACTCGTTAAACACTTGCACAATCTTTTTTATTTATTCCCAACAGTAATAATTATATTGTCCTTTCATAGTAAAACACAAGACGGAAGTTATCAATTTAAAACTTTAGTAAATTATGCAAAGTGATTAACATAGCAGAAAACGAACTTACTTCATAGAGTCTCAGAATGAAGTGAAGTTTTCCTCGCCATCTTTATCAACACTTAACATAACATAAGAAAATAAGGAGTCTGCAATAGTTCGATTGGCCTGTGCATGGCAGCTCCTGTCGAGAGTTACTACCACTCTCTATCATCCATGAATCTATCCAGCCTCCTTTTAAAACTTTTCAGCGTTCCAGCCCTTACTACAAAGTTGCTAAGCTTGTTCCACTCGTCTACCACCCTATTTGTGAACCAGTTCCTTCCTATCTCCCTCCTAAACCTAAACTTATTCAACTTAAATCCGTTGCTACGAGTCCTATCCTGCTCGGCACGGCACTAAATCCGATTGGAGTAACGTCACTAGTGGAGTTCCCCAAGGCTCAGTACTTGGACCATTATTATTTATTATATACATAAACGACATATATATCTGCGTAGACAGCAACATAAGTAAATTTGCTGATGACACTAAAATAGGACGTGTAATTAAATCTGACGAGGACTGCAAAACTACAGGAAGATCTAAACAAATTTTTCGAATGGTCGGAAAAATGGCAGATGAAATTCAATGTGGACAAATGTAAAGTACTCAGTATAGGAGATATAAACAGGGAAACCAGTTACCAGATGAACAACGATGCCACTGTGGAATCCAACTGCGAGAGAGATTTAGGAGTAATGATAAGTAGGAATCTTAAGCCAAGTAAACAATGTGTTTTTGCTCGTAACAAGGCAAATAAAGTACTTGGGTTCATACAAAGGAGTGTTAGTTACAAGACTAGCGAGGTCATCTTAAAATTATATCTAGCGCTTGTGAGACCTCAACTGGATTACGCACTTCAGTTCTGGTCACCGTATTACAGAATGGATATAGAATCCTTGGAAAGAATCCAGAGGAGAATGATAAGACTAATCCCGGGCATTAGGAACCTTGAATACAGAGACAGTTTAAAGCATCTTAATTTGCACTCCCTCGAGAGACGTAGAGTGAGGGGCGACATGATAGAGGTGTATAAATGGAAGTCAGGGTTAAACAAAGGGGACATTACAAAGGTACTCAAACTATCCAGCCAGGAGCGAACTCGTAACAATGGTTTTAAATTAGACAAATTTAGATTTCGGCGCGAAATAGGTAAACACTGGTTTGGAAACAGAGTAGTGGATGAATGGAACAAGTTACCAAATATCATTATTAACCAGAATACGCTGGATAGCTTCAAACATAGGTTGGATGCTTATATGAGCAATAGGGGTTGGGTATAAACGGGACTGCCCAGTATGGGTCAATAGGCCCGCTGCAGTTTCCTCCATTCTTATGTTCTTATGTAAACAGAAAATCATCTGGAATTTGTTGAAAATTGTTGCTGTACAGAAAAAAAGCAGATGGGGCTAGAAATACTCATCTGGAATAGTATAGAAACCAGGAGGAAGTGAGAAGGTTTGGAGACACGACCTACGAGGTGCGGTATTGAAGAAAGAAGGTAGAAGACGTGCTGTGCTGACATTAAAAGGAAGTCGACGATGAAAAGGTGGATCATCAGAATGACCAACCCACAACCGCTGTTGAGCTGCCGGCATCCCCTATTTTTCAGATACCAGCTGGATGGAAGACGTGAGCTGTGCTGGACCCAACTAATGTATTGATGTTGTTGATGTATAATAAAAAAATATGAAACCCCTAACATGTGAAGTAGGACAATTTTTTATGTGTTTTGAAGTATTTTCTCTTATTTTTGTTATTATTTACTACAAAGAAGGTTTTTTTTGTCACTTTTTCTATGAGTTCATTTGATCAATGTTTTGCACTATGAAACACGATGTTGTAGCCATATTACTAACGGAGATGAATTATTTTGACATGGGCTGATAAGGATTTTTTCATTCCATGTTTCCTTTTTCTCCTGGCATAGAAGCTTTGATCTTGGCGGGAGGTATAGTGACCTTGTCAGATCAAACTAGCGCCAGTAGAAAAACATACACCTATGAGATTGTTTTTTGTAAATGTGAGACTATGTTATCACCCCAGGGACTATCTTAGATACAATGCGTAATATTGCTGTCTATATGTGACATCAGTTCTCTGTGATGGAAGCTTTGGTCTTGGCGGGAGGTGTAAGGATTGAATATCAGACCAAAGCTTACAACTGCCCAGTATGAGCCAATAGGCCCGTTGCAGTTTCCTCTATTCTTATGTTCTTAGGTTCTAACTGAACAGCATAATCGAGGTGCGGCCTGACTAGCGCAAGATATAGTTGCAATATGACCTCTGCACTCTTATTATTTACACTGCTAGATATAAAACCCAATATTCTGTTTGCCTTATTTCGAACATTAACGCACTGGTTTCTCGGCCGTAGGTCCGGGCTTACAAGTACCCCTAAATCTCTTTCACAAGTCGACTTCTCTAGGTTGATGTTGTTAAGGCTGTACACATTGACAGTATTTGTTCTTCCAATATTAAGTAACTTGCTGGTGCTGAATTTCATTTGCCATTTTTCTGACCACTCCTGCAGTTTATTTAAATCCTCCTGTAGTGCATTTGCATCCTGCCCTGAATTAATCTGCCGCCCAATTTTGGTGTCATCCGCAAATTTGCTTATGTCACTGCTGATCTCAGTATCTAGATCGTTTATGTAGATTATGAACAAGAGTGGGCCCAGTACTGACCCCTGGGGAACCCCACTGGTTACACAGCCCCACTTAGATTTAACACCATCTACGCTGACTCTCTGTGTTCTATCGGTGAGCCATGATTTGATCAAATTTAAAACTTTCCCCTCGATACCATGAGCCTTAACTTTTCTCAGAAGCCTCTGATGCAGTATTCTGTCAAACGATTTGCTAAAGTCTAAGTAAATAGCATCGTAATTTTCGTCATTATGTACTGTACTACCTCGAAGACTTTCCTAAAAAACGTCAGCAGATTTGTTAGACAAGATTTTCCCTTTGTAAACCCATGTTGAGAGTCGTAGATTAATTTGTTTTTCTCTAAATGCGATTGGATGCCATTTCCTATAATTGATTCAAGAAATTTCCCCACTACTGACGTCAAACTAATCGGCCGGTAATTTGACGCTGATGCTCTGTCTCCCTTTATAATATGGGTACTACAATTACCTGTTTCCATAAGCCTGGCACAACTCCTGTGTCTAATGATTTTGTAAATAAATTTACGAGGGGTCCGCTAATCTGTTCCTTACACTCTTTCAAAATTCGAGAAAATTTCATCCGGTCCTGGGGATTTTGTCTTCTTTAATTTATTTATCTTAAGAGCATCCTCTTTTCTAATAGTGATATTCTTTAATTTCTCTTCTTCATTTCCCCTAAATATCAGTTCTACCTCTGGCATTTCTTCGTGAATTTCTTCTGTGAAAACTGATAAGAAGTAACTGTTTAATACTTTGCTTATTTTCTCACTATCATCGATACCTAACTTAAACTAACCTTCATCACAAGACACTCACCAAAAGAATCGTTATTTGTTCTGTTATTTATATTGCCATAAAAGCTACTCTAAGATGATGATAATAACAATATGAACCACTAAATCACCAAATAATACGTATATAGGTTGTGACTTTGTGTACCGTGTGTGAATGTCAAATCTAAAACGCCCTTGTAAATGCTTGGGGGTGTATAACTGCACGTGTTGAGGAGGAGGTGGTGGTAAGTGTCTCTTGGTGTGTTGGTGTTGTTGTTTTACATTATTATTCAACACAACAACCAGGTGAGTATTCAATGAGACTCACCGAATGCTGGGTGTTGGTCCTTGGGTGTTTTTCCATTGAATATAATAGATAGATAAAACGAAAGAAAACAAGACCAGAAAAATACGACGCATGAGTGATTTGTGTCACGTGTGTGTGTGTGCTTGTTTTAATATAGTTCAGGGACTGCCACGTCAGCTGTACGTCAGAGGCGAATAACAAGACTAATCCCGGGAATTATGAACCTTGAATACAGAGACAGGTTAAAGCATCTTAATTTTCATTCCCTCGAGAGACGTAGAATGAGGGGCGATATGATAGAGGTGTATAAATGGAAGTCAGGGCTAAAAAAAGGGGGACATTACAAAGGTGCGCAAACTATCCAACCTGGAGCGAACTCGTAACGATGGTTTTAAATTAGACAAATTTAGGTTTAGGCGCGAAATAGGTAAACATTGGTTTGGAAATAGAGTAGTGGATGAATGGAACAAGTTACCAAACATCATAATTAACTAGAATACGTTGGATAGATTCAAACAGAGGTTGGATGGATATATGAGCAATAGGGGTTGGGTGTAAATGGGCCCGCTGCAGTTTCCTTCATTCTTATGTTCTTCACACACACACAATTTGGTACACAAGAACGCAAAAACAGATTGGTGTGTGGCTCAGGTCATTAAGTATCTGATCACACGGTTGCCTACTGCACTTGAGATACCTTACCGATCTGGGGTACACGCCAATCTGTTGATGTTTGGATCTGTTGTAATGCAAAATAGATAGATATTTAATAAAAACTTCATACGAGTTCTCAATTTTCTGAACTTTTCAACCTTAGCAAGGCGGGCGTCCACCAGCTTTAGTCACGGACACGCTTCTGCATTTTGGAAAATATTTCTTTAGTAGGTGAGCGACTTTGCTGAAAAAAGTAAATTTACTCATAATCTTGTGATAAGTTCCCACCCGAAGATTATCGATAAGATTACTGCATTAAACTATTCATGAGAGACGTAATGATCTAGATTAACTTAACATAATCAATCAATCAACCAATAAAAAGGGTTTGTTATTCTGTAGGCAAATCAATGTCGAAAGTATTTGAGAAAACTGCATGTGTTGTGTGGCCCGTGGAGTGATTGAGAAGTTCTATTTAATGTGGCCCGCAGTCAGGCAGATGCGGCCAGTTTATGGCGAGTAAAGCAATATTTACAAAAAAGAATAACCTTCACACACAATTCGTTACTGTTTCATCATCTAAGAGTAAGTAACTACGAGAATATAACAGTGAAATAAGTATATTTAGTCATCATTATAAACATTTTAACTTGTGTGAGTTTAAGGGCCAAGTTCGGCGCGGTCTGTTTGAGGGATTAACTGCGATATGGCAATGGGTCACTTGGGAATTAACAAAGCTTGGGTTAGTCCAAGTGCGGTCACGGGCGGTGGTCACACAGGGTTTAATTAATTAAGTACTTCCAGGATAACTCAAAAAACCTAAATAGCTCCTCAGAAACCCATAGTTAGCGAATAATTATCATTGAAATAATTTTATTAAATCTTGGAATATGAGGGAGAGAGAAAGAGAGAGAGAGATGCGCCTATGGGTTGTTCCATTGTAGTTCCTCATAAACCAAGATTTATATTGGCATTATTCTAGTGGGTGTGTCCCATAAGTAAGAAAAATGCTGTAATTGTTGGAAAAAATCAACGCATTCACAGACTGTTTCACCCATCTTATGTTAAATGCCAAGAAACTTTAACATATTACCTAAAAAAAGAAATATTATGATGGATTTGTTTCATAAATAGGAAAAAGACTATGAATGTAAACTAAAAATATCGTAAGGTGGACGTGAGGATAAACTGCTTCACTGTCCATGATAATACAAAATTAACATTACTTTTGGGTTAGGTAGGATATACATTTTGATGGATTAGCTCGCAGAAAAATACCTAAATAGTAATGTGGCCCATGACTGAGGAAAGGTTGCCCATGCCTGCGTAAGTAATTATATCATTTATCCTGGTGTATGTAAATAGGAAATTACAATAATTAGCATAATAAGTTAGTAAATAAATAGTAAAATAAGTAATAAAACTGGTTATAAAGTTACACGGTATTGAGCAATTTAATTTCGAAGTTAGCCATTGAATTACTGCATTTTCTTTTATAGCATTAGGGTAAACTAGGGAGAGACTTCAGAAAAAGATATACTTTACAATAACACTATAGATAGATAGAAAGATAGACGGAGAGATAGTTAATCAGCATTATCATCATACAAATTCACATTGGCTAAGAATATGAAGTGCTGGTAAAAACTGCATAGACAGTACGGATATCAGAGTCGTAAAGTAATGAAGTAAATTTACTTTAGTACTGTACTCAAGTAACATTTTTGGGTATTTTTTAAAAAATACTCAAAATTTTCAGTATTTTTACTTGTACTTAAGTACGGTATTCTATTTTTTTTTACTCCAATACAATTGAAAAAAAAATCGATACTGGTTTCATGCTCCAAAATAATAGTTTTCTATATACAATCACAGGACAAACTTGTAAGTTAACCAATCACAAGCGTTTCTTCACGTCTGCTGCTTGTGAGCGTCTGTTTCGTCATGCTGGGCTTATATTTAGGCCTAATGTGAGGGGGCGGTTTTCTTGGGCTTCCACCCAATGTGAGGGGGCCGGTTCCCTCTCCTTTTCTACACCACCCTCACCTTACTTACTTCTCTTAGTACTTACTCTTACTCAGTTCCGTCACCTATTCTAGGGTAGCATGGGCATTCTTTGGTAGCATGGTCGAGGGTCTAGGCACGTGAGTATGGTAATTTTGGTATCAGGTCACTTGGATGGAAATAAAGGTAAAATACTGTGGGAGAAATGAATACACCTAAATTACTCTAAAAACAAGTTTATTAATATGCAATCACTGGGGAAAGATTTTGTATTAATCATATGATTACCAGGTTCACCTCCTGGGCTTAGTGCAAACTCAGTTCCTTCTTCTTTACTCTTACTCACAACATTACTGGTGGTACATTACATGGCACTCTTGTAGATTATTCAACATATACGTAAACAATGACACTAGTATATGCAGGGGTCCACTAACCAACATGGGATAATTATTTCCAACTAATTATCCCTAACATACAGGTTACAACACTCTCTGTGGACATATACTTCCAAGGAGTAACCCAGGGTAGAGCACTGGGACTGTTGTTATTGTGGGGTAGCCAGACACATGGCGGGTCTGGGGTCTGGCCCAACGAAGCCGTGGGGCACATTAATCAGGCCGCATCGGTGCCATCTTCTCATATATGATCCCGGATGGACATCTAATACATCCGAGGCCGTTGTTGGATGGTAGAGCGATTCAAGAATCACAATGGGATCTGTATGGATGAAGGGACGGGCACTCACTAACAGTGACAACAACATCATGTTTCAGGGGACGTTAAAGACGTAAATATGACTTCACTCAGAGCATATCAACTACGTTACTGTAACACTTGCACAATCAACTATTAATTGGGTCAAATCACTTAAAGAAGGGCGAATTACAACACAGAGTGGAATGGCATACCTGTATGGATGAAGGGACGGGCACTCACTAACGGTAGAAATGCCCGCGGGGCCCTCACTCAAAACAGACCAGGGAGTCCACCTACTTCTATTCCGATGAATTAATTTACTGTACACTCTGACGTTGAAATTGAGACTATGAACTCATTTTCATTCTCGACTATTATCTTCACTAACAATGCTCTGACTCAGCTATCAAAAGCAAAATTAAATTGATTACAAAGGGTTGGATGGCAACAGGTCCCAGCATACAGCGTCTGCTACTAAATCCGCGGATTATATTCCAAGCTCCCATAGACAAGGATGGGGGAAACAGAGAAAACGGGGGACGTTTCCACTGGGGGACTCAGAAGGTTTTGTGGACGTTTGAGCGTAATATGAATCCTTAAGGTTTTCAGGTTAGCCGTTATCACGATCATTACGCTAAGAGATCCCGACTGGACAGCCATAATATTGAGAATCAGTCATTGATTAATCTCAACAAAAAGATTTACAAATAAACATGTGTAATGCTGTCTTTTATTTTCATCTTTAGTTAATTATTTTTTATATAATTTACAGTTGATTTATTTTAATATTTCAGACAAATAATAACATTTTGTTACTTTTTACTTTCAGCACTTAATGAATGAGACCCTTTTTTACTTCTACTTGAGTAACATTTTGCCAATGTAACAATAATTTTCCATAAGTAACAAAGTCTGGTACTTTTTGACAACCCTGACTGGTATACAAACAATATACTGTATACAGACATGCAAACAATTATATTACGATTATTGTAAACAGTAGGTAGACTTGAACAAGGATAGATAGATACACCTTTAAGCATGTGTACAACAACAAACTATTATAGGTATACAAACAAGGGTAAACAATAAGTCCCCCCCCCCCCCAAATATCCTGAGAGAATTGTTAAAAACCTTACCTCCTGTTTTATCTCAGTTGGGGGTCGATGCAACGTCACGTGAACTAGACCCTGACTGCAGATAACATGGTACACCAAATCTCCTCTATAGACAAGACGTAAATATATGTAATTTCAGATGTAAAAAAACACACACAAAATAACACACTACATTGCCTTGAGAGTAATTTAAATTGATGGGTTATTTCCTCAGCACAATATTCCTACACACACACACACACACAGAGGTTCCAACTCTATACTCCTACAATAGCTTAAATGTCATAAATTTAGCTCAATATTCTATAAAGGTTTGGTCAAATGTACTCGAATGTTTGCGAAGCTTTTGTCCATCAAGATGAATTAACTCAAAAACTTTAAGATATAAAATAATGACAAGTTAGTTGTTGCAAATTCTAAGGGGAAAAAAAATAGCGGAGTGTACGTGGTCCTTCAGGCAACATTAATTTCTTCATTTGAAATCATTTTAACCCCACTCTATGAATTCCCGTAAAACTGAGATGAAAACAAAATACTTAGAATATGAGAAAACTTAGCTCATGTATTTATAATGATACAAATAAGTATAAATTACCTTAATTTAAGTATACCTGCCAAGAATTCAATGTGGATAGCGTAGTTTAAATGGTCAACCAAGACTGACAGAGAGCTTTATTAGCGAGTCTGAAAAAGTTGAAAAGATAAAATTTCTCACAAGATTACAGGGTTAACGTTACAAAATTTACGTGAAGAAATGTTTAGAGAGTATTTTAAACCTTGAAGTCAAATGAGGAACTTTCAATGGTGATTCAACGCAGGAACCAGATAGTTTCATTTCAGGACGAATGTTAAATAAAGGACAATTTTAATGCATGTCTGAAAGAAATTAATCGCCAGTATTTAAACACCTGTGCCAATTATAGCGAGAACAATAACAATAACAGAACGGGCAGTGACGACAACAACAACAACAACAGCTGGTTAAAACTATTAGCATGGAAACAACTATTAAACACTAACAACTAAAATTACAGCAGCAGCAGCAGCAGCAGCAGCAGCAGTGACAACAACAGCAGCAGCAGCAGCAGCCTCGGGGCCTTGTGCTCACAGTTGGCCTGCTGCCTCGCTGGAAGCTGGACGGGCTACGATTTCGCTCCTGCCAGAAGACTTCCTCGTGAGCCAGAGACTTTATATATCACCCTCGTTTTCCATCTCACCCATTTTGATATAATGTTTCAGCAGCATTAAAGAAATATTTATTAATCGTATTACTGTATACTGAAGGTGATGTTTAAGGTGACAAAGCGCATAAGTTTGTGTAAAGACGTAAGCACCTCCTTCAAGAACTTTGGGCAACAGTTGTGATTTGGAAACTTGATCACCGACATTGTTACTTACTTGTTAGAAGAGTAACTTTTTTCCCTCGGTTATTGTTGTCTCATAAAGGAGTATTAAAACTCTGCAAGGTACTGGAAGGTCTCACTGATTCCTGGAAGACACTGATTCATAATTCCGGAAGACACATAGTTCCTGAAAGACATTGACGGAAGACTAGGAATCAAGATGGGAGAAAATTAATGAGTTCACGGGAAAAAAAAAATTATCATGGAAGACATAAGTAATTTTGGTATATCAATAATTCTTCCTGGAAAGCTCAACATTAAGATATAAGAACCCTGATACAGTTAGTAAAGTTCTCCTGGAAGCCTTTAACAAATCCTGGAAGCTTCTAACAAATCCTGGCACCTTCTAACAAATCCTGGGAGTCACTAACATATCCTGGAAAACCTCTAACAAATCCTGGAAGCTTCTAACAAACCCTGGAAGTCACTAACAGAGCCTAGCAGCCAATATTACACCTTGGAAACCTACAGTAAACAACTAAATGAGAAATCCTATAATTCTTTTGTAAGTTCAAGTCCTGAGATGGACTTGATGGACGTGGGTCAAGGACATGAAAACCAGGGTGGAGGTGGTGGTAGTGGTGGTGGTGGTGGCCCTCGCTACCTTGGTGATGCTGTTAGGTCACGTCAGAGGGCTGGACGGTGACCTGAAATTAGTGAACAACGGATACGAGGGTGTTGTTGTGTCTATCAGTGACCACATACAGCAAGAGCACTGTAGCCATGTTATTCACGGACTTAAGGTAAGATATTAAACGTTGTATATTGTTATCAATGAAGAGTTTTGTTGGAGTTTGTGTGGCCACGTCAGGAGAGGATATACTTCTATGAAGAGAGTAAACAACTTTATTGATGTGTATTTTACACCTTCCAGCAATAATAATAATAATAATAATAATAATAATAATAATAATAATAATAATAATAATAATAATAATAATAATAATAATAACAATAATAACAATAATAATAATAATAACAATAATAATAATGAAATCACAAAAGCTTCCATAGATCTCTTCCAAACGACAAATTACTAGTTAAAAAGGCCCAAGATCTAATAGGGCCCCCAGTCCTACCAGGCCCCAACCTAATCTTGCCTCACCAATAATGATGGGGCCTAGACCTAATGGTTAAAGTGGGATAAGTTAGGGTAGGTTATGTTAATTAAGGTTAAATCAGGTTAGGTTAGATGAAGTAAGGTTAGGTTAGGTCGAGTTTGACTACATCCAGTTAGATTAGTTGAGGTTGAGTTATGTCAGATTAGGTTAGATTAGATTAAGTCGTGTCAGGTTAAATCGGGATAGATTAAATCGTGTTAGACTAGACCAGATTAAGTTAAATTAGGTTAGGGATCTACTAATACCGACCTTAAACCAAATTGAGGGCTCATTTCGACCACCGTTTAGGCCAGAACCAACTCATTCATACAACTAGTGAATAGAGCACCAACAGGCGGAGTAATACACATATTTATTAATGAATTCAAGTTGTATTGGAAATCTGGGAGTGTATTTACATTATATATTCACGTTCCCGAATTTCTGTCCAGTTATAAGAGAGAGAGAGAGTCTAGCAGGCGAGGGGGATTAGTCTTACTTGTTAATGAATTTACATATGTCATTTTAGCTGTGTGAATGATTTTCCTGGTTGAGCCGACTGAATGGTTGACTGAATGACTGAATGATTGACTGAATGACGGAATGGTTGAATGACTGAATGATTGAATGACGGAATGGTTGAATGACTGAATGACTGAATGATTGAATGACTGAATGATTGAATGATGGAATGATTGAATGACTGAATGGTTGAATGATTGAATGACTGAATGATTGACTGACTGAATGACTGAATGGTTGAATGACTGAATGGTTGAATGACTGAATGATTGACTGAATGGTTGAATGACTGAATAGATGACTAAATGACTAACTGATTGGGTGACTGAATGATTAGCTAATTGGGTGACTGAATGATTAGCTAATTTGGTAATTAATTGAAAGACTGACTGACGGACTGATTAAATGAATGATTGATTGATTAACTGATTGAATAACTAAGTAGATGATTGGCTGACTGTTTTCACTAACTAACTGGGTGACTGTTTCTTTGACTAACTAACTGGGTGACTGTTTCTTTGACTATTTTATTTTCTTATACTTACTGACTGACTATTCCACTGACTGACTGACTATTCCACTGACTGACTGACTATTCCACTGACTGATTAGGGAAATGTGTCATCTGGGTCCCAGGTTAACTTATGCCATACGACCTTAACTACCCTCTGGTCCCTCAGGAAACGACCAAGAACTACCTCACTAACGCAGCTTTAACTACAACTGTTGATGTTAAGGCAGTATAAGGGTTGTGATGTCGGGGGTGGTTGTGAGTCAGTATAAGGAGGTTGTGAGTCAGTATAAGGAGGTTGTGAGTCAGTATAAGGTGGTTGTGAGTCAGTATAAGGTGGCTGTGAGTCAGTATAAGGAGGTTGTGAGTCAGTATAAGGAGGTTGTGAGTCAGTATAAGGTGGTTGTGAGTCAGTATAAGGTGGCTGTGAGTCAGTATAAGGAGGTTGTGAGTCTCCTTGCGGGGGGAGGGGAGAAGGAGGAGTCAAGTTCCTACGGTGATTATTAATACTGGTTATATTTAGCAGTAATTACTAACGAGGTCACGGTAATGGAGTGGTTATTATTACCATCTATATATATGACTATGTATGTATGTATGTATGTATGTATGTATGTATGTATGTATGTATCTATGTATGTAGGGGCGTAAGAGGATCAGAGAGAAGAGAGGACTTGAATAATATATCTAATTTATATGTATACGTTTAATAATATTCATAATCTGTATGTATATGTATAATAATGTTCTTAACTTAATGTATATGTATAATTATGTATCCACTTTCGTGACCTTCAGAGGCGCCACAACACACACACACACACACACACCACACACACCACACACACTGGCGTTAGCAATTGGAGCACTCTGTAGCAGTTATATATATTTTTAAACCTATTTCTCAAAGTTCATGACAATGTATTATAGAAACATCATTATCATGGCTTATTTACAAGGAGTTGAGTGACCAGAGAGTAAAGTTAGAATGTCATACTATTTTCCTTACGACAGATTGATAAACGATATAGTTTTCTTTTCATTTATTATTATTTTTGTAAGAAATGGGTAAAAATAGGTATGTCATTGGCCTATTTCAGTCATAAGTTTAGACAAAATAGGTTAATTAATTAGTTTAATAGATGAAAATAAGTAAGCAATAGATATGACCATAAATAAAGCTTTTGAAATCCAGGCATGATCTCATTTTAGCTTCAGATGAATTTACCGAACCAATTTAGCTTTTGAAGGCATTAGTAATAAAGCTTCGAATAAGTTATCTGTTCGAACTAATGATATCAGCAGCTCATTAAGATAAACGGCTTGAGGTTAAGTAGTAGTAGTAGAGTGTTTTTCATGTCAATAGCTTGAGATTAAGTAATGTTTATGTAAATTTATACTCTCAGTGTAAATAGCTTGATGTAAATTGATACTCATTTACGCTTCTCTTTCTCTCTCTCTCTCTAATTTAAAATCATCACCTCTGTAATACTGACGTCAACCGCTTGTTCATGACTGTACCTGTACTTGTTGGCTGTATTTGTGGTCTTATTTATGGAAAAAAAAAAGTATCTTTCAATGAACAGTAACAGAGAAGAGAAATTGCCTCTGCCAGCACCAGACGTGAGACCTAACACAGAACACCATGTCGGGGTCTCAAGCTAACTAACAGAAAGACAACGGAAGCCAACAGAATACAACAGAAAGACAACAAAATATACAACAGAAACCGAAAGAAAGCAGCACAAACCAACAGAAACTAACAGAAACTAACAGAAACACAACATAATCCACAACAGACATAATAACACTTTACAACTACAACCTCAGCCTAAAATGACCTTAAACGGTGATAACAACTTTTTAACTTGACCAGAATTTGATTGTTTTCGTTACTTGGTTGTGACTCGATATGTTAAGAGTTGTGTGGGAGTGTTGGGAAAGGTATAATGACGAGTATTGTTGGAAAAGTACCACGAACAGGACCACTGATACGAACTAACAAAACCTAACCTAAACTAACCAAATTTAACCTAATGATCCTATATATGGTTTAGTTTTGGTTAGGTTTTGGTTGATTAATTATATTTGTTTACACTAGAGACAGAAAGAACCAGATGTTTGACCCACACACACACACACACGGGCTTCGTTGGGTGTGTTAAGAGATTCTCACGTAAAATTATTAAAACTCGCTTGATTTTATTATGTTTGTGGTGTGTATGAATGTATGTTGTATGTGATGTATGATTGTATGACGCATGTACTGTGTGTATGATTATATGCACATGACTAACGATAAAATAACAGTTTTATAGCAAATAAATTATTTTCAGCGTAATAAAAGAGTGGTCATATATTTTGTCAACGGTTTGAGTTATAGGTGCGAGTATAATCTCCTGTAACCTGTTTTGTAATCAAGATGAATGACTGATATTGTCACTATTCATTAATAATTTGTATGGATGTATTCGGTAATAACATAAAGTACACGCATACATGGACACGTATTCATTGTCTACATACATACATACATACATACATACATACATACACATAATAATAATAATGGTTGCCCCTCGTGTAACGAGGATGGCCGGCCCAAGGGTCACCAAAAAGTGAATTTGTTTAAGGTGTAGAAGCTGTCGCCAACACAACAACCACACCCTAAGTTAACGGTTGCATGACTTAGTGTCAAGGAATAGTCCCAGAAGACCGGACAACTCGCCAACTGCACTGGCTAACCATTACCCCGGAACACGATACGCAAATCAATTAACATCCAGGTCCCCAATTACTGCTGGGTAGACAGAGGCAAATTACGTAAGAAAACTAGTCATAGTTTCACCTTGCCCGGGGATCGAACCCGGGTCCTCTCGCTTGCGAGGAGAGCATGCTGACCATTACACCACATACGTACATACATACATAAACAGTCCCTCTCCTCCTGACCATCGTGAAGGTAATTTTCAATCAAGATTTACCTCTGTATATTTTATACCCTTTTCCATTATCTAATTTCACCCTTTTCATTGTTTTCATTTTATTTAGCACCTTTAAGTCGTCGAATAAACACCACGACTCAGCGAGATTTACAACTGTCGCCTTTGTTGTGTCGGCAAATGCGATTATGCAAACAAGTCTTCAACATTTCAAAAGAAGTAAAAAAAAAAAACCAGAAGCTTTTTCCATCCTCTAATATCCTACAAAAAATAAATAACTACTGAACACTTTTATTTTCGAATAACAAAACCCCTCAATTAAACTTTCAATTTCCATCCGTGTGTGTGTGTGTGTGTGTGTGTGTGTGTGTGTGTGTATTGTATGAATGTATGTACGTAACAGTATAAGTCCATATATAAACACAACATCGGTAGACACATACAATAATACTCTTGACACAATCTCAAGGGACAAAAGCCAGCTTGTTTAAGTGTGTGAGGCGTAAATATACAGAGGACCATTACCAAGCTGTGTGGACGATGACCTGCCTGAAGAAGGAGAATGTTTCCTGGTAGAATGACTCCATCAGGACCCTTCACCCTTTTAGGTATGCAGGTACAGAGGTTAATACTAACTTCTGTGATTTGAGTACAGGTGTTGTAGTGAGAGAGTACAGATGCTTCTATTGTTTACAAGACTTTCTATTGTGTGTTCCAGTTCGTCATATTGTTTTCTTAGATGTTTACGTTTTCTTGATAGATAAACAACTTTCAATCCATATTTTGTATTTCTCAGTTCTTACAAACTATTTAAACGAACTACAGTACCATTGGCGTTCATATTTGAAATTCTTATTATTTATTTTCAAAGTTCTCTTCACTTTTTCGACAGAACTACAATACCCAGTTCTTACACCGTGTTGACAAGAACGACCAACTGGTGTACGTACGTGCGTTTCTCCTCCTCAACATTCTCACCATTGTCTACTTGGAGTTCTAGCTCTTCACATCTCGACAGAACTGCAACTTTAACACACACACACACACACATTCTATAATTCTCTTAGTTCTTACGCCCTGTTTACAAGAACGACCAACTGGTGTGCATACGTGTGTTTCTCTATTGAAGACACGCCCCTTAGTTAAGTAGCTCACGAGTTTTCCAATTGTCTCTCCCCAAGGAAGCCCTCTCAGGGGATAGTGTGTTTCAGCATGACGTCGACCTGAGCGTTGCTACAATCAATACCTGGGGTGAGGAAGAAGGAAGGGAAGGAAGGGAAGGAGAGAGACAGAGGTACGGGAAGGAAGGGAAGGAGAGAGACAGAGGTACGGGAAGGAAGGGAAGAAGAGAGACAGAGGTACGGGAAGGAAGGGAAGGAGAGAGACAGAGGTACGGGAAGGAAGGGAAGGAGAGAGACAGAGGTACGGGAAGGATGGATAGAGTAAGGAAGGTTGAAGAAAGAAGAAAAGTATACGAGACTGAAAGATGGAGGAGTGTGAAGGAGAGAGAAGGAGAGGATGAAGGAGGAAGAAAGGAGAGAGATGGTAGGGGAAGGATGGAGTAAGGAAGGGAGAAGGAAGAAGGGTAAGAAGAGAGGGAGGATACGAGATCGAGAGATGAAGGGGAGGAGAGGAGGAAGACAAGGGAAGTAAATGACGTGAAGAAACAATGGTAGATAAGGAAGGTGGAGGATTTAGGATGGTGTAGAGGAGATGGAAGCAGAGTAGGTTAGGTTAGGTTAGGTTAAGTTAGGTTAGGTTGGGTTAGGATAGGTTAGTTTGGGTTAGGATAGGTTAGGTTAGTGGTAACACGAGGTCATTGAATCAATTTGACGTTTCATTAAGGAGTTAGACACTTTAAATATCAATATATGATGATTATATACATCCAGAATAACACACAAACGCCAAAACATGACCTCGAAAAACCATAGACGGCGAGTAATTAGTGTTAGAAAGGTAATTAGCGTTAGAAAGGTAATTAAAATTATTGAGATGTCGTTTGATCAAGTAATTAAACAGTTATGAAATTGTGGACAACAAATCCTTAATGTATAAGTAACCTATTGAAGAAGATTATTTGAAAATGACTATATTCCTGAATCTTTGACTTGTCACTTCGTTTCTCAATAGAAGTTCTGATTCTGATTCTACAAAGCTCCGAGAAAAGCGCATTTACCGCATGAACTGAGCGAGAGTAAGAGAGAGAATAGTGTGCAAGACTTATCCTGCCCTGCCCCCCCTTCCTCTCTCTCCCTTTCAAAAGTCAATTCCTCAAGGAGACAACTTCTCTTTGGTGTTAATAAGTCATTGTGTTTTCTTAGTCTACAAACCCATAATCAGCCCAGCCTAGTGCGCCATCTGTGAGCTATTCCGTGAAACTCTCTACTTGGGTTTTCATGGTATATTTGGCGCCGATTTTCAAAAGTTCTCTTCCTTGATATTTTACTGCCCTGGATGATTTATAAATGTGTTTATCTATCTCACTTGAGCTAAGATATAGAAATATATCCTTGAGAGTTATAATTCCCTCGTAAATGGTGATGTAAGAACGTGTTTCAGTTACTTAACTTGCGATAAAACGATGAGTTCGCAAAAGGTCGTATGGGTAAATTTTTTGCTCTTAAATGGCGATGTAGAATCAAAATTAACGGTGATTCTACTGTACTGTGATGTATTCTGTTATGGGGAGGTGGGGGATTACAGTAGCATGTAATTACAGTCTCTGAAATACAATACTAATACAATGAACACACTGAAATTAGCTCACTGAGAAATACATTTTAACCCCTAGAAAACAATGTCTTAACCCCTGAATACAATGTCTTAACCTTGAATGCAATGTCTTAACCCCTAGCTACAATGTCTTAACCCCTGAATGCAATGTCTTATTCACCTGAGCAAGATGACATGTCTCTTATGGGGTTAAATCATCGTGCTCAAGGGATTCAGAAAGCATCTAACTCATCAGGATACCAGGTTCGAGTACACACAATTGGAAAAGAATATATATATATATATATATATATATATATATATATATATATATATATATATATATATATATATATATATATATATATATATATATATATATATATATATATATATATATATATATATATTACACGCTCCTCAGTTAACTCAAGCAAGGATAACTAGACGCCACTTACTAACACAATAACTCCACAAAAACAGATTCGCTTTATCTACCTAACCTAACCGAACCGAAAAGTCCCTTACAGGTGGCAAACAAGTAATTACCACCAGTACTTAACTCCTTCATTACGGGATGCCACTTTTAATATTTTATTTGGCTAATAAACGATTTTATTTAGCTTAGAGGCGACCCCGTACACAAGGGGTTAACTCCTAATACCTGTAGCATGTCGTGACACCTGGATGATGTCTGTGAGAATGTAGTTCCTGCATTGACTCGTACTACCCAGCAGTGGGAATTTATAACCTATGATGAGCAAAAGGATTTATTTACATTATCTATATCTTTACCCTAATAATAATAATAATAATAATAATAATAATAATAATAATAATAATAATAATAATAATAATAATAATAATAATACAAAAATAATAACAATAATAATAATAATAATAACGTAATCTCATAATTTTTTTTTTTACCAAGCCGACGAATTGTGTCAGTCTTGGGGTAAAAATCTCTCTCGTTAATGGACGCTTTTAAAATATTAATTAATACCAAGAATATGAAGAAATCCCGAGAGAGTCTTGATCAATGCTTTTGGAGATCTTACGGAGACTTAACAGCCTTTTAATTCTGAGTTAAGTATCCCATAAAAGTCTCAAAAAGGCTTCCTCGTTTTCTATAATAAATCTTACTGGCTGGAGTGGAAGATTGACTGGGAAAGAAAAGGGGTCCATTTATTAAGGGGTATATAAATGTCTGTTTGTCTGTGTTCTGTCTGGGTAATTGTCTGTCTGGTTATTAATTCTGCCTGTTTGTTTTATCTGTTTTTGTCTTCCTGTTGGTCTCTCTGTCTTTTCCTGTTTTATCTGATTGTTGACACACCTGTTGATGTCTGTAAATCCATCTGTCTACACCCTTTAGGCTATCTACGTTCCTATTGGTGTGTGTGTGTGTGTGTGTGTGTGTGTGTGTGTGTGTGTGTGTGTGTGTGTGTGTGTGTGTGTGTGTGTGTGTGTGTGTGTGTGTGTGTGTGTGTCCTTTGATGAAATGGAACATGTGGAGTCAATGGTGAGAATGAAAAAAAAACCAGTAATCACTTCGGGTGCTATCGGATCGTCGGCTGTTGAGGAGTTCATTAAACCGATTGCTGGAGAGACTGACGAGGAGGAGGGGGAGGAGGGGGGAGGGGGGAGAGAGGGGGGAGGGGAAGGAAGGGGAGGAGGAAGAGGTGAAGGAGGGTGTGATAATGTAGTAATGAGACGAGGGATGTCAAAGGTCTAGTGTATTGTATCTGACAGAATATTTTTATCGTTGGCAGTATATGATGTCACTGAAAGGGTATGTTGTTGTCACTGTGTCGTTGTTGTCACTGTGTGTTATTGTCACTGTGTTGTTGTCACTGTGTTGTTGTTGTCACTGTGTTGATGTTGTCACTGTGTTGTTGTTGTCACTGTGTTGTTGTTGTCACTGTGTGTGTTATCGTTGACAGGCTGTGTTGCGGGAGCTGTCCAGTCAGCTGTGGTCAGCCACTGATGGTCGGGCGTCACTCCGGGAGGTGACAGTCACTCTACCTCGGGCCTGGAGGACCTCACCTTCCCTCACCTGCTCGCTCTTCTCGCCCCTTATGTACTCCTCCTGGCCAACAGAGGGCCACATCCGCGTCACGGCGCCTCATCCTGGCTTCGGCTCACGGCCATGGACACAGCAGAGTCAAGGTTGTGGCCGCCAGGGGGACTTTATACAGGTGGGTGGAGACTTCCTACGAGCGGCGGGTAATGGCTCTCACGCCCACGCTGCCAGGCTCCTGTTAGCAGAGTGGGCCAAGTTTAGGTGGGGAGTGTTTGACGAACGGGGTCACGCCCACGATCCTCTATACCCGCCCACATTCCGTGACCCCAACACCCATCAGTGGGCGGCGACGGGGTGTGCTGACGGAGCAGTGCGAGGCAGGATCTGTGACCCATCCCAGCCCGGGTGTTCCTTCACTCCTGACCTGTACACAAACAACCACCTCAGCGCCTCTCTCCTCGCCTTCCCTCACCTTCCCACCGTAAGTAACCAACTCTTCAATATTTCTATAATTTAGTCAGAAATATAAATACAAACATAGACTTAGCTATACTGTACAGGTATAATAATATCCAAGTGATCAGAATGTCCTAAAATTAATGTCTAAATCCAAAAAATGAATACAAATGTACATACAGTCTACTACTTAACCTTGTCATTTAGTGATACAACACACGTGTAGTAATGTCCATATACTGTACTATAGTGACAAAATTATGGCATTATCATCTCCACATACAGCACATATGTAATAGACATGAAAGAGTAATGTAATAATTCTGATTCATTATCATCTCACATAAATTCTATACAAAGGTCATTAAGTTTCTTCAAATGCCAAATAATCAGAAACAATACCATTTATAGCGAATATTTTACCTCACGGGGCTAGTTTTTATATATCAATTTACTATATATCGTTGTTTTTAAAGGATTTTTATTTTATCATTTTAACAGTTGACATAAGATTGCTTTCTCGTAAATTGTATTCTTTAACTAAATCTCACGTTATAATTTAACCTATAAACATATGTTGTAATCGTGTGTGTGTGTGTGTGTGTGTCTCGACAGGTTCGACTCTTCTGTACGGACAACACTCACACACACGTTGCACCCACCAAACATAACTCGTTGTGTGGTGGTCGCTCAGCCTGGCAGATCATTCGCCAGACGCAGGACTTCGTAGGCGGACGGTAAGTCATGTTTGTATTTTATGACTGAGAAGAGATGATCATATACGAGTCATCTCATTCAGACATACGATGGCAGAGTGGACAAAATGCTCACTTCCTATCCTAAGGCTCAATGGTTCGCATCACCCAGCTGTGAACCTGTATGGGGATTTTAATGAATAAATATCTATCTAACTATCAACTTTTACCACTTTATTTCATTTTATTTACTTCCCCTGCTAACCATCGCTACATACCAGAAACTAGCAGACCTCTCCACTGTGTTCGTAAAGCTTTACTCTATGTCAACACACCACCCCTGTCTCCCCTCCTCCTCTCCACCATCAGCTGATTTAACGCAAACAATACGCATGAAGTTCCTTTACTATATACACCTCGAAGTCCCTGTTATTCCTCTCTCTATTTCCCTCTCCATTATTATCCACATACATACATACATACATACATACATACATACATACATACAGGTGATAATTTATGTATACAAACTGTCGAATAAGCTTCCGATAAAAGTTCCTTATGTGGATATTAATAAGTTCAAATATACATGAAAAATAATGTTAATATTTCTCATTCTTTTTTATTATCAAATTATTCCCATTTCCCATTTCTTCAACTCGAATATTTTTCCCATTAAAACTGGTAATTCCTTAAGTACTGGTAATTTTCTTGCTCGTGTCACAAAGGTTATGTAATAATTTGTCAGAGAGGTAATGTACTGTAATTTAGTACTGTAACTGAGTACTGTAAGTTAGTAGGTGTCTAGTCAGTGTTCACATAATGATTACTCTCTCTGGTTTGGCCCAACAGTAACGCAGCCAGCAGCAGTAATAGGAACTTAGAGCCCGTGTTAATGTTTGTACAGCAGGCCAACCCTCGTTACGTCTTCGTTATCGAGAACACTGCTACCATGAACCTACAGGTATGTTGTTCAGTTCATCCGTCCGTGTCTATGTTGTTCAGTCATCCGTCCGTGTGTCTATGTTGTTCAGTTCATCCTTCCGTGTGTCTATGTTGTTCAGTCATCCGTCCGTGTCTATGTTGTTCAGTCATCCGTCCGTGTGTCTATGTTGTTCAGTCATCCGTCCGTGTCTATGTTGTTCAGTTCATCCGTCCGTGTGTCTATGTTGTTCAGTCATCCGTCCGTGTCTATGCTTCCGGTGACTCACTGCAGAAAGACTTTGTTATGGAGCTTATCATCGGTAATATATAGATTTAAGTTCTATAATAAGTGTCATCAATTATATTTGTCATAGTCTTGGCTACTGAAGTGAACATAATATTTAGAGGTGAGGTGAGGTGAGGTGAGGTGTGATGATAATGTTTGTTGACGATGACCTGTTTGTTGGTGGGTTTATTAACAGCGACGATGGGAGTACCTGAGGAAGGCGATGCGACGTGTTGTGGTTTACGACGTACCGGCCGGAGCTCAGGTGGGCGTGGTGACCTTCAGCTCGGTGGCCCTGACGGTGGCTCCCCTCACCGTCGTAGAGAGCCAAGAATCAGATATGAGACAACGGGTTGGCTCATCTTTACCTCGTAACACATCACCGAATCCTGAAACCCAGAAGTGTATTCTCTGTGGGCTGCAGGAGGCCCTCAGGCTACTGAACGCAAAGGGCAGGAGAGGTGCTGATGGCGGTACGGTCATCTTCATCACTACAGGCTCAGGTCCAACTACTCACCTGGACGTGGACAGGATGCATCACTTGGTGAATCAGTACCACTTGAGGATGAACGTTGTGCTGTATCCACTGACGGAGCGTCGGGGAGCTGCTGCGGCTGCCTCTCACGCCCTCCATACTCTAGTGGAGGCAACAGGAGGATCCATTTTCACCGTTATGGACGAAGGTGTTGGTAATGACTCGAAGGTGAAGATGATGGTGGCTTTAATGGACGCCCTCTTAGCACTGGTCCAGCAGAATGCCCCCGCGTCAGCCCCGGGAGCCCCAGTACTGGTGCACAACACAGCCTACCCGGGAGGAATTGCCTCCATGTCCGCTGGAACCTTCGCGTTGGACGACTCGCTGGGACCCGACGCTCGCTTCTCTATCTACTACTACGACCTTAACCACGTGGGCAACAGCATCCAGCTGACGGCGCCTTCTGGCCATAAGATCGCTTCCGTCAACATACAGGAGGAGGATGGTGACGTCAACATGATCTTCATCAACCTGGAGAAGGCTGAGGTGAGCTAAGTGTTCAGTCACTGTAACGACCATTCATAAGTACTGCATAATGTGTATATAATTTTACAGAGCAAGAGAGAAGATAATACCACCAGTGTTACTCGGGATGCTCTTACGTAAATATTCTCACTACTGTAGAAAGTTACGGAACTCACAAACACTGTATACATATTACACATGAGATACTTGTATACACTTCTCGACCTACCAGTGTAATATCTTTGCCCTCAACAGCGCGGACTGTGGACGTACAGCGTAGAGAACTGCGCTGACTCCCACCAAGGCCTGTACGTGCAGGTCACAGCCAAACAAAACTCCTCGGCGGGTCTTCAGGCGCGGCTCTGGACCAGCGCTGGAGCTCAACTCATCAACTCCTCTGACCCGTCGACGCCCGTGGTGGTCTACGCTGAGGTAAAGGCTGGCGTGGCGCCCATCATCAACGCCCGTGTGGTGGCCAAGATCCACAGACTAGGCACCAACGTTACAGGCAGTGACTACCAGCCCATCTTCCTTCACCTGTGGGACAACGGCGTCGGCGGTGAGTCTATTTATTACTTCTGTTACTTTCTCTTTCACGTTATCCAGGAGTAACGTCCACACGAGCATACATCCTCAAAAAATAGGTCTTGTGCTCTTATCTGTACCCACCACCCCATGTTACTTGACTGTTTTATGGTGTCTATCTCCGGTTGCAGGTCGAAACAGATCCAGGTTCTCATAGGCTCATTAAGACTGGGGCCCATTAGAACTGGTCCTTAATCCTAATGCCCCGGTACTGTTGGACACTATGAGAACCGAGTCCCAGCCAAACAGCCATCCCTCATCTAAACATAAATGAAATACTTCCATCTTTTCACCCACATACATCTTCCTGTCAGTCTTCCCCTCACTCTATCTGCTTTTCTGTCAACTTCCCTTGCTTCCCATTATAATCTGATATCAGTCCTTCCTCTGTACTACATCTACGTATAAAAAAATAAATAAAAGAATAACAAACTTAATAAGAATGTTGAAGTAATGTTATTCCCCCTCTTCAACTATTATGACTGAACTCTCCATTTAACATTCATTTTTCATATACATTTTGTTATGATAATATAAATAATATATAGAACGCGAAACAAAATATAAATTAACTATGTTTACACTACAGTTCCTAAATACAGGTTTTACATTTCGATAATTGTTGTTGTTGTTAAAGTACAGAAATACATAAACAAAAACAATAACAACGAGATTAACAATAAGAACAATAACAACAATTATAACAACAACAACAACAACAACTTACATGCTAAATTGAGCAAAAAATAAACAAAAGCAAATCAACAAAAGAAAGTATTATAAGTGATAGGTAAACAAAGGGTCCATCTCCTTCAGCTGGTGTATATAGATGGCGCTGCTGTAGTGAATGTCTTAAACGAAACATTACGACTACTAGTGAATGAGTACATGAATGTTTGTCTTAGAAGAAAGTAAAAAGTTAATGTGAACGCTAGTAGAATGATAAAAATAAGCAGCTAAGATCTATAAAGTATGCTCGTACAGTACATTGACTAAGAAAGGAAGAAAGTAGCTGTTTTGAGTGTCTGGTGGGAGAGTTGTGTGTCTATGAATGAAGCAACGAGTGAGGAATGGATTCAAACATTGAGAAATATTTGATGAGAGAGAAACCGTATCACCAAGAATGGGAAATACAGTTGACCAGAAGTAATTGTGTGAAAAACCTCTGTAATACAAGTTGGTTGGGGATTCGTTTCGTCAGCTGATTTTAGGGGGTTCGATTAATGGGTTCGATTACATGTTCACTGGCTTTTGTGTCGTGGATTCGTATCCTGTTAATGTGTGGAGTAAGTCACTTATTGATCAGTATTGAGAATCTAATCCACACCTACCGGGCCAATTATGAACTACAGGAGGAAGATGATTGTAGGAATAATGGAATATTAAACATCGACTCAGGATGAAAGAGGAAGAGGAGAGAAAGAGGAGAATTTAGAAGCAAGAGAAATCATGTGCTTGAGTGCAATATGTGGGGGTGCAGAGGATGTAGAGAATAATAAATATGGAAATAAGATGGAAATGAGAAAGTGAGAGAAAATGTGGGACAGAAGACCGACTAGTGAGGAAGGTTTGACAAGATGGTGAAGAGATATAGAGAGAATGAGAAGAGAAACTCGGGATAAGGAATGTAGAAGACAAAGGGTAGAAGAGGGTACAGTAAGACCAATAAGGATGTGGAAGGAGAGACTAAATAAGAAGGAGGGAGAGAGGGATATCAACTAAGAGTGTAAATGACTAGAGATGATGACGAGAAAGGTTTATAGAAAATGGACAAAATATATATTAACAGTTGATGACAGGTCGTATGAGGTGATCAAAACATACCAGAGACAGAGCTTTGGGGGCGACTGGTTATGGAAAGAGAATATCAGGGGAAACTGTAATGTGTTGTCTGGTATTAAATGAACGAACAACTGCAAATGGAGAGCGTTTGTGCTTGCTTGATTCCGACCAGCCGCGAGAGAGAGAGAGAGAGAGAGAGAGAGAGAGAGAGAGAGAGAGAGAGAGAGAGAGAGAGAGAGAGAGAGAGAGAGAGAGTGTGTGTGTGTGTGTGTGTGTGTGTCGGACTTATAAGATATACCATTTTTCTTCTAATTATCACCTGAGTATATCTTAATTAAGTGACGTGTACCTGGTCTTTGTGGTACAGATCCAGACATTACACAAGGAGACGGAGTGTATTCCCGGTACCTGCCGCAGCTACCAGGCTCCCCGGGCCGGTACCTCCTGAGTGCTGACGTAGACTACAACAACGGGCTGGCGGTGGTAGCTCAGGGACCTCCTACCAGGCGCCGGTACAAGAAACCATCACTCCATCTCCCCTTCTACCACCATCACTACCACGATACCTGGAACAGCGAGGAGACTTGTTGCGGTCATTCTCTACCGCACGTCCACACCCGCCGCACCCCACCCTTCCTGCGGCATCTCACCAGTGGGGTCCTGGAGGTCATGTCACCAGCCCCTTACCGCGATCTTATTCCTCCCTCCCGGGTATTGGATCTCCGTGTAGAGGTAAACGACACGGTACACGAGATCTCCCTGCGCTGGACGGCCCCCGGGGACGACTGGGACACAGATAGAGCCCACCATTACGAGGCTGTGGTGGCCCCGTCCTGGAAGAAGGCGAGAGCATTCCAGGGGGACCGTCTGACAGGCCTGCCTCACCCCCTCCCTGCCGGCACCATCCACACCACCAGCCTTCACTTTACCAGATACGAGGAGGTGAGTATGATTCACTCTCCCTCACTCATCAATTCACTCTCCCTCACTCACTAACACAAGGAGCCTATGGTTGGGTTAAGATTCCTCATAGGCTCCTCCTCATCACAGTGAGTATTACCTCCTAACATCTTAGCAGAGTTCGATTTGTGCCTCACTTATGTCCGTGTTTGACTTAAAGATTATGTGACACAGATGAAGGTAGATTAATGTGACTCTCTTCCCAGGTTAGGTTAGGCCAAGTTAAGTTTGATCCTAATTTACTCAAGCGTATCTGTCTCTCCCGGTGCCTGGTTGGTCAGCTGTGGTACCTGAGTGTGCGCGCAGTGGACGAGGCAGGTAACATGGGTGGTGTGGGGAACATTGCGGCCTTGTGGGTGCCTAGACCTCCTACCACCTACGAGATCACCACCAGGACCCAACCAGCACTCACCACCTCAGGTAATGGAGTATTTCCAGTGACTATTCCTAACTTCCTAACCTAACCTAAATAATGCATGAATATATTGGATAAAAACACCAATGTTATAATGATAAAGAAAGTGTCAGTCTTGTACATGATTTTTTTTTTTATGGCCTTTTAGGTAATTACACCTTGACGTCAGAACTGGGGTCAGGTCATCATCCTGTAGGGGCGTCGGAGGTGAGACTGGAGGACTTAGCACTTATCATGGGCAGCCTTGGGGGGTTGGTGGTGGTGGTGGCTGCACTGGTGTCTTACTGCTACTGTTACATTCTCAAAAAACGTAAACAGCAACAACAACAACTACAACAACAACAGAAAGACGATGATGATGATGATAAGATGGAGACAGGTAGCAGTTGTAACGATAGTATTGCCATGGTGAAGGCTGAGAGTCTACATGTGGATGATGGAGGTGAGAGCCACGAGCCTCAGGAGCCTATGATGAAGAAACCTCCTCCTGAAGAGACACAGAGCGCTAGACCCGTCCCTTCTGTTCAGTCTTGGAGCCATAACACTCACCTACCCGGATACGAACGCCCTCTGTCAGTTCACAATGAGACAGGTGAGGAGAGACTGGTGGCGTATCAGGTAGATGGCGCCCCTCTTAACACTCCCTTCCCAGACGTGACGGTGACGCATTACGCACCAACAGCGTCTGGGAATGCCGGACCTGGGTCTTCTGTGTACCTGCCCATCTGTACAAACGAAGAGCCACCCCTACCTTGTCACTGTGCTATCCCAGGACCCGACTTCACCACATACAGGACTACAGCTACTGCCACCACCTGGGACGAGCCCCTCACTAGTCATCTCTTCTCTCGCGCCCACACCGCCCACACCGCCGCCCTCTCTACCACAGTTCACCATCACCTGCCGCAAGGTGACTGCCGCAACGTGACCCAGGTGTAATATTCTACGGATGTGATATTGTCTGTGTATTTGTAGTCTTTATTGATGCTCTTGTGCTGCGCGTGTGAGGTGACCAAGGGGAACTTAAGGTGAAGGTGAAGACAATTTAGGTGGAGGGAAATTAAGGGGGAAAGTAATTTAGATGAGGAAAATTAGAATGAAGAATTTTAAGGTGAAAACAATTAAGTTAAAGACAATTTAGGTGAAGACAATTATGTTGAAGCTAATTAAGTTGAAGCCAATTAAGGTCAAGACAATTTAGGTGAAGTTAATTAAGGTGAAGACAATTTAGATAAGCCAATTAAAGTGAAGACAATTAAGGGAAAACCAATGAAGCTATAGAGGCAAATAAGGCTAAAACTAGATGAAGACAATATAGGTGAAGACAAAATAAAGACAATATTTTTTGGCTTTGTGTGTTGTGATAGTTTTGTGATAAACGGAGAAGAAAATATCTATATAATTTAGACTATAATCATTATTTTTTTTGTATGTGTAAAATAATATATGTATATGCTTCTAGAACTGATGTGTTAACACACACACACACACGTATATTTACAGTATATATGCATGTATACATTTTCTAATCACCAACAATATCATCAATTCTGTATCAGGTGATCGTTAGTGGAATCCCTTTCAGCTAATGGTGCAAATAACCCCCCCAGACTGAAGGTAAACATATTGTAACAAGGAAATGGGTAGTTGTAACATGGAATACACACTATCAAATTACCAATGGAACTTAAAAGCCCTGATTATGTGCATTACATATTAAGATGCTGATTTGGTAGTTAACCCACCTTGATGTATCTGTTATGTCTATATGTCTGATTGTCTGTCTGTGATTTTTTGCGATTTTCCTAAGATGTAGATTTAGATGTGTCATTATGAGCAACTTTGACGATATTTTCTTACTGTGTTTTAAGGATATGAACGACTATAGTAAGTGGACCATGTAAAGTGTTTTGCACTAGTCATTAAAGAGACGACAACAACATGGATGTTTTGTTTCAATGTGTGAGATACCTTTCAGTGTAGTATATCAGCAAGGGCAGATGAGAGGCCCTTTATTGTACCGTCAGTATGCTAGGTGAGATAGCTTTCAGTGTAGCGTCAGCAAGGCAAGTCAGAGGTCTTTCAGTGTAGTGTGTCAGCAAGTGCAGATGAGACACTGAGTAGCACTTCTGTCTCGTATTTTACCTCTGAACTAATTCTGCATCGTATATACTCCCATAAGGTAAACCTTGTAGCACTTATGGTAAAGTTTGATCTATGAACACATGAGTAAGAGAGTCCACGAATGAACCAGTTAGTCCTAGAATGAACCAGTTAGTCCACGAATGAACCAGTTAGTCCACGAATGAACCAGTTAGTCCATGAATGAACCAGTTAGTCCTAGAATGAACCAGTTAGTCCACGAATGAACCAGTTAGTCCTAGAATGAACCAGTTAATCCTCCAATGAACCAATTACTCCTCGAATGAACCAATGAGTTTACAAGTGATTCATTAGGCTCACAAGTGACTCAAAAGTCGTCGACGAATAACTGAATCCATTTTCATCTTTGAACCAACAATCAAATCACAAAGTAACAGAACACAAAATGACTCGAAACATCAAACCCGTCTCGTGTCTCACTTGACCATATATAAGGAACTAAATAAACAATAGAGATAATAAGTCATATCAAAAAAAAAACATAAACATAGAATAAAAACTACGAACTTGCAATGCATTTATGACGTCATTGCTCTCACTTGCGACAGATAGATAGATAGATAGGTAGATAGATAGACAGACAGACAGATAGATAGATAGATAGACAGACAGATAGAGTTGGGAACGATATCGAAGACTACAAACAATAGCACAGTGAAAGAAATATATCAGGTAACGTTTCATACCGTGTGTTGTGCAGTCTAAAGAGTATAATGTTACACGTTCATATGATGTGGAAAATGTTGTAGCTTATACCTAGAGGAAGCATCTAAATCTAATATTACAAGTAAACTATTCAAGCCAAATATTACAGGTGGTTGGAGTGTGTAGTTAGTTAGTTTGTATTGTTTAAAAGTCTAGTTAATGAGTATATTATATATCCTGACTTCATTTTTTATTTGGATTTAATTAATATTAATCTTCTATAATATATTAATGTTAATATTATACTCCGATTTGACATCTTTATAATTATATTCTATCATGTTAATTATCTGGTAAACGTATAGTGTTATCAAGTCTTTCAAGTAGTGGAGTATTGAGATACTTTTTTGGCAGACTGTATAGGCCGTCAAACAGAATTACACAGACTCTCGCCTTGTAGACCAACAGCACCCCAAGTTGACTGCTAGTGGGTGTAAGGAATGAGACAAGCGCGCTAAGACAAGTGAGTGAAGTGAGGGTATTTTAGAACAGGTATTGTATATGGTATAAGATTATGTACATAGCAGTAAAATAGTGTCCAGGACATTGGTAGTTAGGATGAATTTACAGAGTTCGTCAAAGGTTTTTTATTAGGTGGCAACAAGGAGAGAATTGATTTGCCCCCTTGAGATGTAATGCTGAAGGCTGTGTTTTTTATTTTCGCCACAGATTCGAGATTGAGTACACGAAAGGGAAGAATTTCTCATGAGTTCCCAACATGGCCTATAGCCAAGTGTGATTCTGCCGGTAACTACATCACTGAGCCGAGTCAGATATTTATTCCGGTCATATTGGTATTTTGTGTCATAATGTGTATCATAGTGGCGAACATAAGCACTTTCAGCTCGCCGTTTACTTCGTTCTTCGTCTAAGATTTGAAGAACGGCTTTGAGAAGCGTCATGACTCGAGCGGGGGTTATGTGCTGAGGCGTCATCAAGGATAGCAAGTGTGCAGGAGGATTTTGCAAGACTCAGATTACACAGATGAGGAAGGCAGCTTTGGGAACGCAATTATTCAAACTATTTCCTGGTGTCTTACATATTATCACGCTTAGTAAATACAACAAGATTAGCAAGGAGTTATACCTAACACTGCAACACAGCTCAACACACCACCAACACCTCAACGCAAACACTCCAACACACCCTAACACACACCAACACACCCCAACACACTCCAACACACCCCACCACACCCCCACACACTCCAACACACCCCAACACACCAACACACCCCACCACAGATTTATAGCACCAAGAGACCCTCACGGCGAGTAACCCTGACATATTCTTAATTGAATCTCAAGTGTAATATTACCATTAATAATATACCGAGTCCCAAGCCATAAATAAGCCAGCATGACATTTAGGAGGAGACTGTGGTGGCTAGCACACTCCCAGTAACACGGAGTTAGTAACAAGTGTCGTATTTATGCTCTAGTTTACGGTCTCGTCAGGTTTGTGTACTTGCTGCCTCCGACGATTTGGATAACTTAGAATGATAACAACTAAGAATGATAACTTAGAAGGATAAATTAGAATGATAATTCAGAATGATAACTTAAAACGATAACTCAGAACGATAACTTAGAACGAAATCTTAGAATGATAGCTTAGAATGAACGGATGGAAAAACTTGATGCAATACCAAATTCTGCTGTCTTTAAACTCCTGCTTTTTTCCTCCTGTGTGTGTATGTGTGTGTGTGTGTGTGTGTGTGTGTGTGTGTGTGTGTGTGTGTGTGTGTGTGTATGCTAAAACTCTATTAAATTTGACTTCTATATGCCATTAACAGATTGCTTCTATCATACGTTTGTACAAAGTAAATTACAACTTAAAACTACACACGGATTTTATAAACACTCTGTAGTCTGGCCTGTAGTTGATACTAGTTCCCTCCTCTAATAAAGTCAAAGGTCAGTCAGTACAATAGGTTAGGTTAGGTCATTTGATTCTTGTTTCTATAATGCCATTCAATGATAAAATTACAGGTGTGGTGGGTTATCAAGTGTTGCTCTCTCTCTCTCTCTCTCTCTCTCTCTCTCTCTCTCTCTAAGTACTCTCTCCCTCCATCAACATTCTCTCCTCTCTCGTTCCACCAGCCTCATTTGCTCAGCGTAAGAATGGAATAGTCTAGCAGTATTTTTCTAGGTCCCAGGCAGGGTAGCGAAAGGCTTCAAATTATACTCTCACAGTTTCTCTCTGCATGTCTGTCTGCTTTCCGTTCTCTCTGTCTGCTTCCTGGTCTGTCTGTCTCTCTGTCTGCTTACTTCCCTGCCTGTCTAATCTATCTGTCTTAACCTACTTCCCTGTCTGCTTGCCTGCCTGTCTTCCTACGTGTTTGTTTGTCTGTCTTCCTGTCCTTTTGTATGTCTGGTTCCCTTTCTGTATGTCTGTTTGCCTGCGTCTGTCTGTTTGCCTGTCTCTCTGTCTGTCTGCCTACATCTCAGTCGTTTTGCGCCTCTGTTTCTTTCTGTGTCTGCCTACCAGTTTGTTTGCCTCTCTGCCTACCTTCCCGTGTGTCTGTCTATGTCTGTCTGTCTCTGCCTGTTTACCTGCCCATCTGTTTGTCTGTTTGCCTGTTTGTCTCTTCTTAATGTAGGTTGATATGCATATCTCAAGACATCATGACAGATCACTACTTATCAAAATAAAGGTTCAGGATGGTGTTGAACATCACCCTCAAATGTTTATGTAAATATTACCTGAAGACTAATTAGTTAACCTGTATATGCAATTAGAGAGACGTCAGGTAAGGGAAAGGTGTGTGTGTATGACGTGTTGCCTTTATACCTTCCCGAGGCAATGATTAATTACTTGGTTTCTATATGCAAAATCATATAAAATACATACATACATACATACATACATACATACATACATACATACATACATACATACATACATACATACATATATACATACATACAAAGGAAGGATAACTAAGGGCGAGTGTTAGGATATGCAGTAAGGGCGTGATCCTGAGCCCATCTCCTTCACTGACATCATTAAAGTTAACCGTGTTACAACGAGGCTCTGATAGGATACGTGCCTGTGTGTGTGTGTGTGTGTGTGTGTGAGTATGTATGTATGTGTGTGTGTGTGTGTGTGTGTGTTAGGTGAGGTTAGGTTAGGTTTACAATTTGTCGTTGTATATACTCAGGCCAATGAAGTCCAGTTTTCTTCCTCTACATCGAACAGAAAAAGTTAAAGAGAAACGCCCCAACGCGGAAGTTCTGATAACGTTAATGTTCTAACTTAAACTTGGTTGTCGTAAGGTAATTTCTTGCCCTAAAATACCTTATCTATCGAAGCCCTGATTATTCTTCTGTTGAGTGGGGGGGGGGACAGACAAACACAGACACATAGACAATTACATCATATCCCCTCCATAACTCGACCTGGATCTACACAAATCATATTATACAGATTATATTGGCGATCAGTCAGTCGTTTAAGAGAAAAAAAAAATATTAATACATTTTTAAAATTCTTTGACATATTAAATATTTTTTTGCCGAATAACTTTAGGGGAATTGTATGAATAAAATATTTCTGTTATAAATATTTCATGGCCAGAGAAGCGGAATGGAGATTATGAGAATAGTTAAAATTATATCATTGTCTGGTAATGGCTTCTGGCATCAACTTTAAGTCATATATATGTGATTGGCTTATGGCTTTTGGCTGATGAACACACACACACACACACACACACACACACACACACACACACACACACACACACTCACACACTCACACACACACCTTTAAATTATAACCGGATAGTGCCCAAAAGTGCTTAAGGAATAGTGTTCATAAACGTACAGGTCATTACAGGTCATTACAGGTCACAGAAAACAGGAATTAATGAATACAAAACAATAATAAGAGAAAACCGATAAATTAAGGGAGGTGGGGGGGGGAGGCTAGACTACCATCACACCAAAGGCTTAAAACCATCACACAAACACACACAAAACTCACCTTTCCACACTAACATTAGAGAGGTGAATTTAATCATATATTCCAACACTGATTTATATCCATTAAATAGTGAATTCCTTTGACGTTGC